CGACGTTTCAGCTGGCATCTCACTAGGTTCAAGAGCGCCTACGCAAAAATCATGTCGCTGTCGAAAGTCTTCAAGTGCCTTGATGTTACTACCATTCATCTTCAATGACAAAAGGTGGTGCTGACTGAGTGCCGTTCTGCGGTCGCGATCGAGTCGAAACTTTTGGAAGATCAACCACAACAACTTGCGACCTTTCGGTTGTTGATCATGTGTTTGACATCTCTCTTGGTGGGTCTGAAACTCCAAGGCAAATTTTGTACCCTTTGCTGCTTCCAGCAATTTGGCGCCTAGGATTCGATGCAAGATGGGAAAGTCCTTTGCATTGTTGAACTCTTTTCCATCTTCCGAGATGTTGCAACGATTGATCCAACGGAACACGATGCTTTCATCATTCTTGGCAAACTTGCAAACCCCACTGAACACTGCGTTTCGGAAACTCCGGCATTTTGCTGCGTCTTGAGGCAAAGCAGGAATCTTTAGATAGTCATACTGTTTGATACGCATTAAGCGTTTCTCTCTTTTGTAGGGGTCCTCCGAATCGCTTGATGAACTCTCTCCGTTATCTCCGTTTGGGGATTTTGGTGGTGAATCTCCGCCCCCTCCAGGGTTTCGGTTTGAACCCTTTCCTTTCGAATCACTTGAAGAGGATGAAGAATCACTTCCTGGCGGCGATCCGGGGACTTTGCGGCGGTCTCTTGATCGATTCGATGACGGCTGATTGCCCGATTGCACAGGGTTTGCCGTCAATCCATCCATCAATTGCTGCATTTGAATGGTCAACTGATGCACTTGCATTTGCAAAGCCATGTTTTGGTCACTTTGGATTTGAAGTCCGATCTGATCATTGAGTAAGGCAGCAGGAGGCAACATTAGATTAGCCTTTGGTATCTCTCCTGCACAAGCGGACTGAGTTGGTGAAGGTGCCAAATGCAGCTCTTCACCATTGGTTGCTGTGGCAATGGGCGTCAATGCAAACGAAGGCAACTGCCAGGATGGTAGGATTTGGGAGTTGCAATACTATGTACCACCGGAACCAATTCACCCATTCCATGAACCTTCATAGATGGACTTGGCTGACCAACACTCTTCGGGTTCCTGTCAACGAACGAGGTTGCCTTTGGCGGCGGACTGCAAGGATGGATGGTGCTCGGATCCCCTGGAGTTCCACTCTTTACAAGGGTCTTCAACCTTTCATCTTGATCCTTGATCCTCCTCATCATTGCTTCCATTTGACCCCTCATTTCACTCATTTGCCTGGTTGTGGATTCCAATGCTTGCTCTCTTTGGTTCAATGCACCGGTCACTTCAACCACCTGGTTCGTGCGATCAATCACCAAAGCTTTCAACTGCTCAATCTGGTTTTGATAATTTGCAATCTCTTGATGAGACTGGTTCACCAAACGGGTAACCTGACCTTGGGTTTGACGGACCAACTCTTGAGCTTCGTCTTGAGAATGCTTAACCCAGTCCCTGGCAGTGGATTCTACCGCCTGGATTTGAGACCTGGCTTGGTTTTCGATGGATTGAACCTGACTCTGGATTTGGGCTTGAGCATTCGATTCAATACCCTGGATCTGCTGAAGGGCTTGGTTCCTAAACTGACTCTCCATTGCTTGGACATACTGAGCAGTCTGGCTCCCATTGGCTTCAACTTCAGAGACGTATTGAATGGCTTGACCCTGTACCTCGGACACCACCTGGTGAGCCTGAGCTACTACCAGTGGGTTCAGATCCAAAAGATTGACTGATCTGGCATCGGTGAAATGAGACGACTGGTTGCTTTCGAACACAATCTGTCTAGCATCAATTTGACCAATGGTCGGTTGCTGGTATTCAACATCCGTCCTTGCTGTTGGGTTTCCTTGATTACTTTGAACCATCGTGGAGTGAGATGTTTCAGTCAGGGATGACAAACTCGCATCTTGGATAGGAGTTGCAATGGCTTCCCCAAACATGACAATCTGTTCACTCTCTGGTGAACCATGCGCACTTCCTACTGATCCCTCCATCGCTTCTTTTCAACGATCAAACGACGTCTACTCGGATGCAATGAAATTCTCAACTGCCTCCTTCGTCCAGCCGTCGCTCAACCAATGGGCGTATGGATACGCTGACCTTCCGTCCAAGCTCCTCTTCCGCGAAAGCTTAATGTGAATCCCTGTTGCCCTGTCGGTGGCCAAAGTGGCTTCCAACTCAGATAGGATCTCAGCACTGTCGTCGATCAAACAACAAGACAAGTGATCTCCCAACCGTTCGGCAAATCTCGAGATGACTGCAGCCTTCCCTGTCGGACCCTCCGGCTCGAACGTACAAATGATCCCGTCAAACAAGCGATGAATCCCTTCGCTGTTACTCCAAATATCCTTGCACGCTTGATAGCGCCCCGAACTCCCAATGAAAGAAAGAACGAAAACAAATGGAATACGCTCGTGATCCAACGCAAACTGTCTGAACTTCTCAATCGCCTCAATGTTCTCGACCCCCACGCGACCTGTCTGTCTGCAAGTATCGCCGTGATCCCTGTCAAGAACCTGATGGTGATCAACAAAAAGGACCTTAACCTGGCCAATGTCTGCAACTGCTCCCAAATGCACTTCCTGTGACTCCCAACGAGTATAGCGACCCTCCGCTGCCTCAAAGGTAAGGAAATGTACCGTGTCCGGCAGAACGATCGAGACTTGAACTGGCTCTGGCCTCCGCGGCGGTGCCTTAGCAAATGCCTTTGGCGTAAGGCCAATCACTGTAGGCGGTACCGAAACAGCGGGCTCAGGCCTAGGTGGCAGTGCCGAAGCAGCTAACCTATGCGCCTCCTCGAATCGAGCTCTGTACGTTTGAAGAACCTCCTCAACAATCGTCACCCGACTCTGCGCGCAAAAGTTAAAAGACGTAACACCGTTCAGCAAATGCGGATGTGTCAACGTAAAATGCCCCTCAGCCACGCCCTGGCGAATGAACGCCCTCTTCTGTGCTCGGCCGCTCTTCCCAGAGTGAGGGAACCTCAGAAGCCTGTGGAGCTCCTCGTACTCGGGATGCTCCGGATCAGAATAACCCCCTTCAGGCGGGGGCGGACCAGTGGGTTCAGTCGGTTGACGTGAACCAGAGGAAGACGCGATGGCTGCAACGACGGCCAACCAACAACCGATCGCAAAGCGATACGGCTGATAACCAAAAGAACACAGCAGCCGCCCCTTTTTCCCACAATCTTGAGCCAAACATGTCCGGTGAAGTGAAACGTCAATGACTGGATCATGTGAAGGCTTCATTCATCAAGATTCCTATGACTTGCATGTCATGTGAAACTAAATTCATTACAGTGCTTGGTGACACATCGAATTCGAATCTTGCCTGCAGAGATGCCTTTCTTTGGTTGCTCAAGGACTGCTTCCCCTGGCGTGCCAGATGCATCGACCAGGGTGCATTGCTAGTGGATTAGGGTAGTGTTTTCACCCCATGTCTTTCTCCCAATAACTTCGAAAATGCGGTGTCATATCATGCGCCCGGTACGCAAACGATTCCTGTCGAAGGGTTGCTTGTGTTGACAGAACACCATTGATTAGTTGACAGTATAATTTGGACTCGTCTTGCTTCATGACTAGCACTTTAGCATCACCAAATGTCGCCTGTCCAAAGATCTGAAATCGAACTGGTGCATGGAGGATCAGGATCTGTAGAGTTGGGCTCCAGATTTATGTTTAAGCCTAGGGACTGAAAACCGGACCCACTTTTATGACATGTTTGGATTCCACGATGCTTGGTCATGTCATCACATGGTGTTGGGGGTCAAATTCCCCGCAGTGGAGCGTGCAATACACAGTATCCCTGGATTCAACTCACAGTCCAACAAGGTTCACAAGAGCGAGTGAGCGAAGGCGATCGAGCGGCTGTTTTCACACGCACCTTGAGCCAAATGTTATGGCATGTCAATGCATTGCATAAGAGCATATCGCAAGATACTGTAACCAACTTGAAGCATAGCGCAAACGGGGGCCCAAAAACAGAAAACGTGGGGGGGGTTGTAATTTCGTTCTTGTTTTCACATACGTCTCATGAGCATGAAGGCTCAAGACGTAGCCACGGTGTGTGCTTTAATTTTGTTGTTTCGGTTGTCGGGTGTTCCTTGTCCTCCTCGTTTTTTGTGTTTTCTTCGTTTGTGGTGTGTCAACCCTTTTTCTTTGGACCAGTACGTAGACGGTTTAACTCGTGATTGCTCTGACCCTTTGGTTTCTTTTGTTCACGAAACAGTTTTGGGTTCAGATCGTGGCTGGGTAAACTGGGAGCAGGTGTTAGAAACTCGTCTTTCGTTGTTCACACTTTGGTGCAATGTGCGGTTGAGGTTAAATGTTTCGAAAAAAACAGAAACTAACTCCCTTTTCTGTTGGTGTTGAGTTGGCGGTTGTTGCGTAGTTGTAGCAGCTCATGTCGGATGGGTGCGCCGCCGCTGATTTGCTCGACAATGGCATCGATGAAAACTACTTGCACTTGGTCGCTGCCTGGGGACAGCTAGTTACACAAAAAAAACGGCAACTTGAGGTGTCACGAAAAAAACATGTTATTTAGGCAAAACGCATGACAAAACACTGCGTTTACCCATGAATTTGACATGAGAACCTGCAAAATAGGGTACGGTTTCCAATCCGTACGGATGCTTAAGATCTAAGGCAAAAGCATTATGTTCTTGGATTCTTTGCGGAGTTTAGCCTCGTATCGGCAGTGCAAGTCAGCATCGTATTCTGTAATCTGGAACAGATTATCTAGGAGGTCCATGTCGGGACACGTGAGTGGGAATGAGGGGAAGAGCTCGAACTAGAGGACCCATCTCCACATCTGCCGCGTCCATCTCCGGGTGCCAACGGCAGTCCACTGCTGATCAGCTAGAATCAAAAAGTCACTTGATCTTTGTGAGAGATGATAATGGTGTTGATTCACGATCTTGGGGGGAGCTTATTGCAACTGATAGTGGGCTCAAAAGGTTTGCACAAGTCTATTGAAAAAGGGTAGGTTCAGACCACACCCAACCACCAAGGCTCGGCCCCTGTGGCCTCTCTGTGGAACCATGGCGGCAGAGGGATCTTATTCAGCGTCTCCTCATCAATCATCGTGAGATTCCCGCTATGGACAGATATCCTGGCCACCCAGCAGCGGCAGGCATTCACAGTCACCTCCTCCTTGAAGCGAATGTAGAGGCGGCTGCCGTCTTGCGGCATTGCAATGGCATCTACAGCGCATTGCCGTGATGCCGTCAGCCGCTGCTTTGCTGCCGTGAGCGCTGCCGAGCTGCTGGAAGCGTCAGGGAGGGCAACCTGCTGGCACAAAGCCATGATCAACATGGAGCGGCTCCGCTGGTAGCTGTTGACGCTGGGCCGCCGTGGGTGGACCGTAGTTGGAGGCTCCACGGAGCACCGCGTCGTGGTTAGCCGATGTCAGTGGTCGCATCCTCTCTCCACATGCGACAAGCCCCAGTAGCCATCTTGTACAGCGCTGTGCGGGCATAGAGGGATCTGGTCCTCAAATGGCGTGTGCGCCAACTGCCACCTTCACTGGCCAAATTGGCCAATCCAGCTTGAGAGTCCGACCACATCATCTTCGGTAGTGGTCCAAGAAGCTACTCAAGGATGACGGCAACAGATTCTCCAGCCACCATCCGATGATCTCCTGACGCTATAACCAGTCCCGATATAACCCATCCCCATGTAATAGAGACCATGAGAGAACCTGATCCCGATGCCACCTCGAAGCCGCGGATGGCCACCTTTGCCAAGGTGGACAAGCGCTGAGGGCTTGACTCCTGCGAGGCAACGCTCCGCGCTGCTGCAGCCCGAGCGAGTGCGTGGGCGGCTCGGGCTGCGGCTCCGGAGCGGCTGAGAGTCCATTTTCAGGTGTGAGAGGAGCATACATATCATTACCTTACATTACAATACATATTCATAAATGCATGTCATATCATATCATTACATTACATTACATTGCAGTGCATTGCATTGCATTACATTACATTACAATTTACCAAGACCCGCTCCACTTCATCCATGAACATCCTTTCCCAGACACAACCAGTCTGGCACTGGAAATGCCTGACCTCTGAAGGCGAAGATTGCCGATCGTGGACCTTTCTTTCGGGTTCTTTGGGGGCGAGACGGCCTAAAAAGGTCAAAAGCCCCTGGTCTGATGCTCTTTGGGGCTCACATAAGCTGTTCTTTGGGAACCCGTGGAACCCGCAGAGCAGGTCTCAGTGCCCTCACAGCTATACTATACAGCAAAATAACAATAACAAAATAACAATATAAAAACCCCTAACCTTCCAAGATCTTCCAAGACTACAAAGGTTGAACTAATTTGTTGTCTAAACATGTCTAAACTAAACTCCTCAGTAAACACTGATTCAATGATTCTTCGGTAAGAACTCGCAAATCAATGGTGGTTGGAATCCTGGTGGCGTCCTCCCAACCATCGGCCTATAATAAGTTGGTCCAGTGTAAGACCATAAGCGTTGGTTGATAGGGGGTCATGGGAAAGGAACCTGGAACCTAGTCAAACAACCCTTTCAAAAAATGATGATATAGAATGGTTCAAACAAACATAAGATCTACTCAAGGCTAACAAACATATAGAAACTGCCAGAAGGGCTGTGGAAGAGCACGTGTCTTCCCGTCGCCGGTCGCCAGTTGCTGCCCTTTATTTCACTTTTGCAACACATCCCAAGAAAACAAGAAAAATAGACGCCTCATCGAAGACAGACACGTAGAGCCGCGGAAGCATCATTGCCGTAGCCTGCCAGCAGGCAAGTGCGAGGCAAACGGACGCCAGTTGCATCTGCTGAGTGTGTGTTAGAATAGGGAGACCCCCCAGTTCAACCCCTGGAAAGATCAAAGCAAACACTGTTGGCTGGGAGTTATCCTATTTAAAATCAAGACCATATGTAGCAAAAATGGCTAACAAATCCTGACAGGTTTATCTTGATTCGCACTTGTCTCATCCAGTAGCGCATGGAGCACACCCAATGAGACGTTTTCAGTTCAAGACAGTTCATGAGCTGTAGGTTAGATACGCCCCGCTTCCAAAAATGTGTTAAACAACAGATTTGGAGCATTACTGAAACGGGGTCGGCAAACGAGTAAGGACTGTTGTTTGCTCCAAAGAAAGCATTCGACAACATCGACGGTTCAAGCGAAGGTCACTGCCAAGTTGCGGTGTCACGTCACGCCGACCAACATGTTATCAAATTCCGCTGATGTCTCGACCATTTTACCAATCCCACGGTTTTTGACGTCCTTGTTACCCAGCCCATGCGCGATCGACCCACTTTTTTGAGCCCGCCACACTTTGTATACCTGATTAGCGCTTCTGTGGTCTGATTCAGCAAGTGTGGGAAGTTGGCAAGTGTCTGATTAGCCCGCGGGTTAAACGGCTCTTTCACTGTCCGAAGCCTTCACTCACCTTTTTGGGGTCTTTCATCTGCCCATCTGAATCCACCGCGCCAGTCTGCAAAACACAACGCGGAACGCGGGTTCCGCGGCCCAAATCTGGTGGTCTGCGTCGGTATGAAAGAAAACACTGTTCGTGGTTGGAAGTCGGAAGTGCCCTTTTTGATTTTGGAAGGGTGCATTTTCGACCTCCATGTGCCTCGCTCCCCCGGCAGAGTCAACTGTTCGTGTGGTGAGTCCGACTCACGCGTGTCTGGACTTGAAAGGACATGCGAAAAGACCGAAGGATAAGAGCACGGCGCTGAATGGACAGTGCTCTTTGTTCGCAGCTATAATTAGGTTCCCTTCTTACTTAGGTTCCCTAAGTAAGTCCACGCAAACTAGGTCCCCTAACTAAGCGCTGAATGGACACGCATTAGATCCCCTTCTTTCTTCTTCCTTACTTCTGGCTTCTGCCATACGAGTCATTCAATGCAACACCGTCTTCTCCATCCCCACTCGCAACACTCGATGCAACGCCACACCGACTCCAACCGGGTCGACGTGCAGGCCGCTCCACGCCGCGGCGGCGGTCCCGGTCCAAAGCGCCCCCGGCGAAAGCGGACGGCTTCCAGAGGTCGACACTGGAAGGAGTGGAGAATCCGTGGCGTCCGGACGGTTTTGTGTCTTTTTTTTGCGAACCAAGCTCCTAGGCTCCTAGCGAACCGATCGCTCCTATAGTAGTAAGGCCAGGAGCCCCCACTTCGCAGCGTCCGATCGCTCCGTTCGTGTCGCGATGCGATCGGAGCCCCGAAATCGCGATGCGCTGGTGTTCCGCCGATGGAGGGCGCCTGGTGCGTGGACGCGGTGGTAAACATGAGTCGCAGGTCCACCGAGGTGCCGGAAGCCACCTGGACGGCCCAACGCGCGGGCTTGGTCGAGAAGTGGTTCAGGCCGGGCCCGCCGATGTCACCAAGGTTTGAGGGGCGAAGGGTTTGGGCGGGAAGGGTTTGGGCAGGGAGAATGGAGATTTGGTGGGAACAATATCGGAAAACAGTAGAGAAAACACAAAACAATAGACACATGATGTGGAAGGAACTGGATGTTGACGGGAATTCACACCCGAAATCAGCAGCAGCGGCAGGAGTTGATGTCTGTTCAGACCGAAACATGAGCACCGCTTGGGGTTCACCCCACCCCAGCCTGACTCGAAAAAGCCCTTCGTTCTGCCGCCGACATCACCGGTTCAATCCAAATGCACCGGTTCGGGAAACGTTGTGTAACCTTTTGATGCGAGATGTCTGCTCAAAATCCCAGATCTGGCAACAAGGATGCTCTTAGCCTTATAGGATTGCTCACAATTGATTTGGAGCTTTCTCATAGCCCGAATCCCCTACCAGTGTGAAACGGGCTCCTCCAGGTGAAATCGCATGCAGCATGGCAGCCATGCCAGTCCAAAGTACTCCAATCCCCAATATAGATCCACGACTGACGCAAAAACGACCGCGGGACATGGCTGCACCCCCTATTCGACTGACCCACGGGGTCCGGAGAAACCAGGTGGGGTCGTCGCGTGGTCTGTGAGGGTCCGGCCGTGTGGACGTCATGTTGTTGACAACACGCTATGAGGGGCTCCTGGCCTTACTACTAGGAGCAAGGACGCCACTAGACATGAGTCTCTTGGGCCCAATTCAGCTCCCCAGTAGCGTCCTGGCTCCGTTCGTAGCGATGCCAAGAGCGCCTAGTAGCGAACCTTGTTCCTAGTAGTAAGGCCAGGAGCCCCCGTTCGGAGCGTCCGATCGCTCCGTTCGTAGAAATGCCAGGAGCGCCTAGTAGCGAACCTTGTTCCTAGTAGTAAGGCCAGGAGCCCCCGTTCGGAGCGTCCGATCGCTCCGTTCGTAGAAATGCCAGGAGCGCCCCTGCCCTTTGTTCATCATGAACATCCGGGACCCGTGTGCCGCATCAGGTTCATCACGTCCAGTCACCATGTTTCATCCGTCATTCATGGCACATGTCCATGTTCAAATGTCTTGTGAACTGATGATCATGTTCTGAAAAATCTGGACATGATGGCTGATGACTCACTGACAATGACATGACGTCATATGGATGGGTTTGGAGGGGTTTGAACATGTCATGTGGATGAATCAAAAGGATCCCTGTGGATCCATATTTTACATGAGGTATGGTTTGGTGCTGTGGTTCACTCACACAAAAATTGGGATGGGACACAGGGCTCTGACTGAGCTGCTGCATAGAAAAGTGGCCAGAGAAAAAACACATAAATAAACAAAATATATAGGATTCCAACATATTCCAACCACCATGACATCAATAGGCTGAATCCTGAACAACCTTTGTTTTCCGGATTTTCACACTCCACGTCAACAACCTTTGTTTCCCATTCTGGAAAGAAACAGATCTGTTTCGATCGATACCAAATCGACACCGAGAGGCGCTCACAGCGGCGTAGCCATGGTAAGCCCCATTCACCGAAGGCATGGCAGGGTGATATCCTTGAAAGAGGTCGAAGGCGTCGTCGAAGACGTCGCTGAGAACTTGGTAATTATATGTTTCTCGATGTGTCTTCGCCTTTTTTCAAGTGGCCACGTCTGTGTTTTCGAAGAAATCGTTGGCAACTTGGACTTGGGAAAAGGATGTTGATCCTTCTTTTCAAGGATGAGTCGAAGGCTTCGTCAAAGACGTTTGACCGGAGAACTGGTGACTGATGGATTCATCGAAGGAATTTCGAGAGATTTCGTGAGAAAACCAGCTTCCAACATTCGTCTTGAGTGGCCCAAGGTCTAGGGTCCATCAGTGAGTTGCTACTAACATCACTAACATCTGACTATTATCCACTATTATAGTATCTAGAAGAGAAGACCTTCATGCCAAACAAAAGTCTTTCACTACCCAAACTCCACCGAACCTGTGCGTCCTCCAACCCGGCGCCAGGACCGAACGCACGGGCCCACCGCACCCGGCCGGACCGGCATCGCTACGTTCGGACCATCGCTACGTTGGTCGTTCCCCAGTCCGGCCGCAGGCGAGGGACCGCGAGAAATAGCGGAGTTCCGCGGATTGATCTCTCCAAAAGAGGAGAAGAACGCGTCGCCACACCCGGTCGCTCCACCCACACCCGTTCGCTCCAGCCAAGTCTCCGTGGGGGGCGGAAAAGACCTCGGCGGGCGGTCCAGAACGCGGGCGAAACCTTATGTTGAAAAGCGAGTGTTTTTCTTTTTTCGGCAGAGCAGTGGAAAAAATTTGAGGGATCTGGGGATAGATCTGGGGTGCAGAACCACGCTGAACACTGACTCTGAAAACCACTGGTTTGTAAAGGAAAACAGTCTTTCATGTTAGTTTTCGGGGGTGTGGATCATTTGGAATTGAATTCCCTTACAAAGCAGACCGGACACCCACCTTCCTTCAGACCTTCATCAACCAAGATGCTTCCAAGTGAGCAGCTTCGAAAACCCCTATTACTTTTTTGTATAATCCAGGTTTGCTTTCGCAAAGCTTTCGCGGAGCTTTCGCGGCCTGCATTCTGGCTTTCGCGGAAGGTGTGGTGTTATGTGGGGCTTTCGCGGCGGCTTTCGCGGCGATTCGTTTTCGATTGGGAAATTCGATTGGGATATTGTACAATAAAGTGATTGATCTATTTAATAAGTTATCCGATATAAGTGTCCTTAGGGTGGTCAAAACTGAACAAATTTCTTTCCGGCAACATCCTGGCACAAGGAGTTGTAGCAGCACCGTTCAAGTATTATTGTTGTCATCAGAAGAGGAGGAAAACTTGCTGACACTTTTTGCTGGGGCCAGATACCTTTCCCGAATATTTTCGACTTTCCCGGTTCTTTCGCGAGGCTTTCGCGCGGGTTTCGCGGAAATTCGTCTGGGCTTTTCGATTTTCCCCTGAAACACTTGCTCTTCAGCGCTGCTGCTGCTGCTGCTGGCTGGTGTGCTGCGGCTGGCTGGCTGGCTGGCTGGCTGGCTGGCTGGCTGGCTGGCCTGCTGCGGCTGCCTGCATAAAAATATGGTCACCCACATAAACAACACGACATGCACAAGAAATTCGACTTTCGCGAAAGCTTTCGCGACGCTGTTCTTCTGGGGTTCTTTCGCGGGGCTTTCGCGAACCTTTCGCGACCTGCGTTTTGGCTTTCGTGAAAGAATGTGAGATTACAGTTTGCACACTTTTCATCATAGAGGTTTTTGAAGCTGCTCAAGTGGGTAAGCACTTTAGGAACCCTAAGTACGGTCAAGGGAGAATTTGTCTGCTCTTTAGCAGTGTTTTGGCTCCCCCCCACTAAAGTGCCTGGACCACTAGTTCCGGACCTTTTTGTGATCCCGGAAGTATCTTCGGAGAATCCTCCCGCGATTGACCCGAACCTCTCCGACGTGGACCTGTGGACCTAATCCCCCAATCCCCCGTCATCCACTGTTCCTGGGCAGGCACCGTTAAGTGGGAGAACCACCACCAACATGACAGTGCGGACCGGCGGTTCGTACAACAAGTAATAGTCTTCCAGTTATCCTTGTCGGGCTGATTTGGATCTTTGATTCCTCCAGCACCTTCCACGCCAAAATATGAGTAATATTGAGTCAGTAAAATAGTTGGACTGGTTGGACTGTTTTGCCTTTGCCAGGAGTCTTGAAGAGTTCCTTTTAAACCACAAATATCTGATCCAATCTGGGTGGTGGTGTCAAGCCACCTGCAAAATCCCTAAATAGGTCCAGGATGAATTAATCAGTGAAAACCACGAAAGAACTGTCTAAAACCACCAACTGGCCTGCACTGAAACCACTCGCATTTGCTTGCTTGCCGACGCCCCAAACATGGGAATCGATAACCATGTGCGCACATTCCTGAAACCTAATCCCCTACAGGTCAGTTCGACCTCATTTTACTGGAGTTGGTCATACAAGTTCACACAACGAAAAAGGAGGTCAGTGGTCATCAGGTTTTACTGTCATCAGATCTATCAATCTATCTATCTATCTATCTATCTATCTATATGTTATTCTATTTTAATCTAGTCAGCCTAACGGCCTAACAGCTATCCTTTGAGCCACACCACAGTCAGCCTCTTCTTCCACGGCACCGCGTCCACGGACCGGCCGTGCACCACGCAGGTCTTCTCGAAGCGCAGCAAGGGCGGCTCGTCTAAATGTCCAGGGCCAAAGCCACCCAGGTTGTTGTAGAGCATCTGAGGGTGGGTGTAGAGCATTCAAGCCACCGCGCCGCAGGGCCGTAGATGTGTTTTGTGTGGTTGTTTGATTCATTCGCATCTGAGGGTGGGAGCGGGGTGTAGAGCATGAAGCAGAAGCCACGCGCGCCGCAGGCCCGTAGAGAATCGCTACTAACTAGCAATAGGAAGCTCCTAGCTAGGACGCAGGATAGCCCGCGCGAAGCACTACTAATGATTCCTAGACTATTTTAGGAAATCTTAAGCCTCAACCCCATCTGAGAAAGGTCACCTCAACTTGAGTGGGCATGTGGACATTCATGTTGTTACCAAATCTGCTCTCCGGGAGCTCAGCTGATTAAAGCTGATTAAAGAACCAACACTGTCAGATTGCAAAAAAGACTGGGTACCAATGATGTACCATGAAACCAACTCACAGTCGGCGTAGTGACATTGTGGAGCCTCTTGCTTACTAAACCCTCCCCATTTGGATTGTATTGTAAAATCTCTTGATATGAGGGGTTTGATCAATCAAGAGTTGGGACATTCTTTCATTGTCTCCCAAAAATAAGATGAACGATTCTCAGCCATCTTTTTGTTCATTTCGTCACTCCACCATTTCCTGACGGCAAACCTGGTGCACTCCACCATGTCCATCGCCCGGCCCCGCTTCACGGGCGCAGAAAGGCAGAACGACCGCCGCACCGTCGAAGCAACGCGCGAGCGACCAAGCAGAACGGCGTTACGCCTTGTTCTTGTTGAGGTCCAGCAGGAAACCCAAGTCTGGAAGCCCCTGGAAGCGAAGAATCCGACACCACCGAGTTGATGAGGAGGGGCAGATGGATGATCTGGGGTGAAAACAGAGTGCAGGCAATACAGTAGCTGATGAAACAGCTGGGTTCATTGGTGTGTGTGTGTGGCGAAAACAGAGTGTGATACCAGGTTTGGATGAGGTGCCACGCACGTGGAGCATTCACCGGCGTCCGACACGGCGTCCCAACCTTGTTAGGACAGACTTGCCTCCTCACGCGGTGCCTCAAGCTCCAATCTAATCTCTCTACAAGAATGTCCTTCCGCCACTGCATTCACTGCTGTTGGCAAGCTTGTTTGCCAAGTTCACTGTTGATGCCTCCCCCTCTCTATCGGCCGAAGATCGCGCACCGAACGGGTCCGAGAGACCACGTGGTTGGGTTTCCCACTGCTGCAAGGCTCAGCGAATGTGCCTGGTGTGGGACTCAACGAAGCCAAAGGCAATTGGGCCAAACCAGAACTGCAAAGGCGTTGACTGCACAACACCGACATTACTGTGTGTAGTCAACGCCTTAGGTGTTGCAGAGAGCCACTCCCTCATGCAATTCGGCCAATTCGCCATCACCGAATTGAGGGAGAGAACTTATAGAGGTGGACAAAAAAACATCTGCCGCTCGCTGGTGGCCGTTGAGGCTTGCCTGCACAACTCGTGAACTCGCAACTAAAAAGCGAAAAGTCGCCAAAACTCCCGATGGATCCACTCTCACCTTCTTCTCAGGTTCGGTAAGACTGGACCCGAACATGGCATAGATAGATAGTGTGCTCACCGTACCGACCTGGTTCGGTGGCAGTGGATCCAGGAATCAATGACGTTGCCCATTGCCAGACCAGGAGGGCATCCGAGCCCTTGGGCGCAGGAGTTGCACCCTGGTGGTGAGCCAGAAAGCTATGAGGTTTTGGGGCGACGAGCTGGGGCCTCACCCAAGGAGCCATAAAGGCCGGAAGAACAGGCCGATGAAGCTGGGAAATGTCTTCCAATGGTGCACCTCATGGCACAAACCATGTCCTGCGCCCTGCGGGCCCTGCGCCATGCGGGCTTCGTCGCCATAGCCTGAATCCTAAAGGACCGTTGCACTATAAGGGTTTAGTTTTACACTGGAAACCATGGTCCTATAGGTCTGTCCCAGGTAAACCAGGTCCTATAGGTCCTATTTCGGTGCTGTCCCATGTTTTCCATATGTTCTACATTTGACCTGGTCTTGGTCCGGCGAAAAAAGGCATGGTGTGTACAAAAGGTTGGCAGCTCTTCTCCCGCTGTCCTTCGTTCCTGTGACCGTTTGCTTCTTCTTTCTTCCCGAACGCCCGACCGACCTCTGTGGATGCTAAGAAGGTTAGGGGCGACTCAACAAGGTTAGGGGTTCCACAGCTATCCAAAGAGTGAACCGTGGACCGGTCCCATCATCTCCAGGGGACCCATCTTGGGATTCCTTCCACAGCCCGCTTCAGTGAAACCCACTCTGAATCGATGAAACCTTCCACAACTGATGGGTTTTTCTTCGGTCCACAGCATCCACTGATATGGAGTGGAATCCATTTTTGTTCCCTAAAGACTGGAATGTCAGAGCTTCGAAGGCGACCGATGTCCCCGATGTCCACACTTCTGGGGCGCTTCGACGACTAGTTACCGACCATTGGGGTAACTTGTGCCATCTACCAGGACCCTGTCGGGGTGCCCTGTCTGGAAGCCTATAGGTAGTGTGGGGTAGTCCAGCCAGGACACCTCGAAAACGGAGGGTCCTGGTCCTCTCAATCCACCGTCATTTCCATGTTTCAGGGACGATCGGGACCTCTCCGCTTGAAACCCTTTGGTGGGGTCGGTCGATGTTAGAAAAACCGTTTGCTGACTGTTGCTGGTTGCGAGGCTCGGTTTCTGGGCAGACTGGCCAGGCCAATCAGATCGGTCCACTGGGGGGGTTCGTAGAACAGAGTGGTCCAGCTGGGTGGCCGGGATCCACTCGTCGTTGCGGGCATACAGAGTCAAAGCGGAGCTTGTCGTGGAGCTTGACAGTGTCGGTGTCCATTTCTGGTCCCAAATACCAATGATCACTTGACCTGGGCGGTCTACCCGAGCCCCCCCCAAAGCATTCGTAGCCTCTGTTCGGGCAAACGGTCCTTCATAGCGTTTTGAACACGTGAAGATCGTGGTGCCCGGGAGTCTTCGATGCGGTCACATCCATCTCTTGGAGGCCTTTCCAGAACACCCGCGGCCTCGTCGTGTTGTTCGCGTCCTAGCGGCATGCTAGCGGCGACACACACACACACACGTCGTCTGAGGACAAAGGAAGCGACCGACGATTGAACACCAGGACGACCAACTCTTGACCCTAGGCCTCCAGTCGTACCTGCTGAGAAGGTGTTTGGGGTGGGGTTGGAGGTACTTGTTGTGTGTAGGGTGAAGACCTTCCGAGACGTCACAAATCCATCGAGTAAACGACGTCTCGCCTTCCGAGACGGTGTCACACAAAACACCCGCCCCACACGTGGCGGCGGATGGATCCGGCGGACCTTCGTTCGATCCTAAGGACAAAAGAATTGAACATGTCTTACCCTAGGGCTCCAAGTACCTCCTCAGAAGGTATCTGGACCCCTCCTGGACCCCTAAACACCTTCGAAACGAAGGTACGACTGGAGCTGGGTTAAGATAGTCTAGGCCAGTGATGTCCTATTGGTGGTACACGACCAGCGTCCCCTCTATTGATCAACCAGTAAAAGGCCATCGGTCTAGGCCCGGTTTCTTCAGCTTGGAGGATCAGGGCTGGCGGAGGGTTCTTTGATCGAAAGTAAATGCTCTTTGAACTATGGTGAGCTCGACAGATGGTGGAAGATGTGGCGTGAGTGAAAGTGTCCCTGACTTTTTGGTTCACCCACCTTGCACTGGGATCTTCGACTTCTTACGATCTCAATCCTTGGATCTATCACAAAGGGCATCGCTAACAAGTAGCTCCTGGCGGCATTACTATACTACATAGTAACCTAGAAGCTACTAAAGAAACAAGGGCATCGCTACGAACGGAGCGATCGGACACGACACGAGATGACGCCAAGGACCGAGAACCGCTCGGAGAGCCAAGCAGGAGCGCACCCAGAGGGAGGACCAGGAACCCACGGACCCGTTCCGGGTCCAACGTCCGGGGTCATTCAGGGCGAGCTGGTTCAAGGCGAGCTGCTTCGAGGCGAGTGAGAGCTGACCCGAGTTCAAGGACTGAGCGTCCTTTCGTGGAGGTATTGAGATGGATGTGGGTGCCCGGAGATCTCGGAACTCACGCAGGTGGGTTGACCGAAACGGGAGCTCAGTCCATTCTGTTCATTTTCGGTGGTCAACCGAGATCTCCCGGTGCCGTGCACAGCCATTATAAAGAGAGGGAGACCTCTGTAAGGGGTCCCCCTTGGAAGAACGAAAATAGACCGAAAGCCTCCCAAACCCATGGCTTGGGGTCGGGGTCTTCGGAGATCAAATGTGCCAATATGAAACTTAGAGTTGAACTTACAGTAGTGTGTCTGTTGCGGGGGAACTCGCGACGGAAAAAGACATGGAGCTCTTGGCAAGAAAGACATGGAAGATAGACTAGGCACCACTCCAGCTTGCTTGGCATCACTGACTTCCAAGCCCTATCGAACACCCAGATAGCTTGTCAGCTCCCTATCACTCCCATGTTCCCCCTCTCTTCGTGAAACAACGCGCCTGAAGATGAGTCCTGAGGGCACAGGGAAGATGCCGCAGGACAAATGGAGCATGCGGTGATCAGACATGCTAAAACCTGCTTAAACAAGGGTTTGATTAGTTCGGGGCCCCAAAGCCTTGTGAACAGCAGGGCTCGACCCCTTGCCCATGCAGGGTCCGGACTCGGATCCTCAGGGCAGGACCTGCTTAAAAACCACCTTTTCCTTATGTTGAATTGACTCTTCGGACCTGTTACCCCCTGTGAGTTCATGACCCCGTCGTTGGCCCCTGGAAGAGAACATGTCGGAATGCCCAGTCATGTGGTGCCACCTGGTTTGGTGATCCACTTGAAGCACTCGAGGCGCGGGTTCCGCGCAGCGGTCCACTACATTGCACCACCGACTTTGGGGTCTGTGCCGTCTGAAACCGCTGAAACCAAGGGACTGAGCCGGACTCACCTGTCTCCGGATCTACCAGGCGGACTGACCCCAGCCAAAACGAATAACCTTCCCCACTCAGTGGGGAAAAGCACATACTTGGCCTGTCTGTGTTTGATATGCACTTTGTCCTGGAACACTGTAGATACGCTTATCAACTACTCAGTCAGTACAGGTTGTTGAACAGGAGTGTCACTTGAAAAACAATTCTCGGTGGATTTTGTATTTTGCCGCATTTCCGAAGACATCCAAAGCCGTAGACCTCGAATGATAGGAGTGGGATTCACCACGATTCACCGTTCTGGAGCAAATCAGCATGCGGAGAGCAGCCAAAGAAAGCATAATAGTGATTATGAATGGCACAGACCCCAATGTCGGTGGTTTGGTAGTGGACCTCCGTCTGTCTATCTTTTTTAGGTCTGTGCCATCGAACCTCTGAAACCACTAACTATAATTAGCATAAAGACAGCAATACACCAGTCCATGTCCCCATCAATATTTCCCCCCAAAAAAGACTCACCAAATTGGTGATTTGGATGGTTTGAAACCTCTATCTCAGCGCCGTGCCGAGCTCTCACCGGCCACGGCGGCGTTCTCCGTGAAACCGAGCCCATGACGGACGTTCACCGTTCGATGGCGCGATGCGCCAAAGGCGGGGAAAGACATCACGGCTGAACACACACACACACACACACACCCTGGGAGTCCAAGACTGTTTAAAACGGTCTTTAGGTGATCCGAAAAGGATCGAAAAGGAACTTCCTTTACTTGGGTGGTGCCTAAAATAGTCTTTGGACTTCTAGGGCACAGTTCGGGTCGAAAGTTCCAACATGAACACGGAATTCTTCCCACCCAGACGCTCCGTGAAAACAGCCCGACCGGTCCCTCCGATTCGGGTCCGACCCCTCGGTTCGGGCCCGACCGAGTCGCGTCGGGGCATGTTGATCTTTTGAAGATGAAGCACGTTCTCTCTCGACACTCGCAGTCGAGGTTGATCTTCAGAATGACCAAAATCTGACATCTTCAGAATGACACTCTCTTAAAGCTGTGTTCCCTAAACTTCCATTTTCAACTCATGAACTACCCCACCTCACAGTCATGATCAACGGTTGTGAATTCTCCTGAACTCACTCTCAGGTGCGAGTCGTACAGTATCTCCTTTTCACCAAAGCACCGAATTGCAGGACTCGCCCATCGACTCGCCCCAATACCAGGACCTTTCCGATCGAACTTGAGATCCCAGAATGAGGTCGCTTTGTTTTTGCCTTGAAAAGCTCATGTACCAATCCTGAAGAGGGTACGCCGCCCCAATAGTTACGGTGTTCTTCTTCGATGAGGCCGCCAATGAGGCCACAAAAAAAAAAAAACGCATGAATCGCTCTCTCCCGCCTCTTCGGCAGGATGAACTCCGGGGCTTCGAAGCGAGATGAAGAAGGTCCGGCCCTGCCAGAGCGCGCCCAACGCATTGCCTCGCGAGCCGGCCACTGGTCAGGCGGGACGGTGTGGACGGGTGCGGTGGGATGGGTGGACGGCTGGTCGTGTCAAGTCAGCAGCGGTGGTCGTGTGGGACCCTGCAGACTCATGGCTTGCAAGGAAACTGGATGAGGGATCTGTAGACTCCTTAGTACGTACAGTACAAGGATGTACAAGGTGTGGTTTGGTCTCATGGCTCCAATTTCCCTTTGAACATGGTGCTTGGACTATTGGACTTGGACTAGTCTATTGGAAGAAGTAGAGGCCAAGGACTATCGACCAAACGAAAACCTGTCCTCCAAGTGTTCTATTCGAATGAACCGAGAAGGATGTCCTGTTTTGCACCTGAGAAGGTGCACGGACCATGTACCAAAACTTCAAAACCCTTCGACGCAAGAATTCAGAACACACTTAACTTGTAGACGATGAATCAAACCCTCCAAGCATGTCGACTGTTCTAGATCTCCAATGAGTGGGTTACATGTCCAATTCCCTCAACTGGTCCAGAAGTTGCCGGTGACTCTCCACACCTTCGTCTCCACAGATGGCACGTTGGCACCCCTTCCGAGGAAAACCACCGGCCGCTGGTGACCGACCGGCCCGCGAAAGCGAAGGCGACCGACCACGCGGAGACCGACCGGTCCCGAGAGTAGCGCCTTTCATCTGCTTGGACCTCAAGGTCCTTAGACGATGCCGGCCGATGCACCGACCGCCAAAAAGAGCATCGAAGCCCCGGGACGCCGCGACCGCGACGTCGGTGCAGGGACATCTAGGGACGTAGCTACGTCCGTCCGAAGTTCATGGGGGTAGAGTGACATGAAATGGATGTAAATGGCCATCAAGGGCCTTTTCGGGACTCATCAGTAGAAGGGCCTGGCCGGGGACAAATAGATCCGTAGAAATGTTCCCAGGAAGCTAGATTGCAGTATATCAATCATCATATACCAGGGGCCCTCAAAACCATGAAAAACAAAGGTTTTCAGATACAAAAACCAGGTTTTTGATGGTTTGTGGGGCGCCTGGTATCTACTATTGACGGTCTGTTGACATCTGTTGACTGTCCCATGAGGTCTCATAAGAACGGGTGGACCTGGTTTTGTAGAGTAAAATCCCTTACGAATAGGGCAATGTTTGTTTGGTTCAAATCAAATCAAATCATTAATCAAATCAATGCAGGTCCAAATCGGTCCTATTTAGACTATTGAGCTTCACATGCTGAAGCCAAGCCAAACAAACGCGACCGTCAATGGGGGTGAAAACCCATGAAACTGGACCATGGGGTGGTCGACCATCGGGATCACTGCAGTGGCACATCTCCCATCGGTCATGTCGACGGGAAACAACATGCTCAGTGTCAGGGTTCACATGCGCTTCGACTCCCTCGAAGACCACCTCTGGCGCCAGTCCAGCCGGCAAGGTATAGTCCTCGCGGCGGAGGAGAAGTAGAAGAACGTCTGACAACGGTTCAAGCAACCAAGCAGTCACTCTCGGAAGATTCTAAAGGTTAACCATGGTTAACCACTCTATTTCATCCTTTTGCCACCTAGTCTTGAGTGGGGACATCCCCAATCCGCCCCCAAAAAACCGTTCATGGCCGCAGACAAGTGACGTCATGGAGTTCAATTGCGCGGAGCGTGGAGCGTGGACGAAACCATTACACAAAGGGGACCTGGAGTGAACTTCCTGGTTGAAAAGGAAAGTCGTCTTCCTATAGCTCGCAGAAGTAGTCTTCCTTCTACTTCCATGTGAAGTCTTCCACTTGAGTGTAGCTAGCTTCTTTGAGGCCGTGGCGGCTTTCGGACACCCACCGCCAGTTCCACCCGAACACACCACACCCACCCCGAACACCACCCCCCCTCTCTCCGGAGAGGGGTGGAACTTCTCGCCGTTGGGCCACAGGACCTCCTGCCCAAAGGACGAAGGAGATCCACGAAGCGAAGCCGGAGCGGCGCTGCTCCGCTCCGCGCGGAGCAGCGCGGATCGTGTGGGTTTCGTGGGGCGGATCGATCCGATGCAGTCGGAAAAAAAATAGACGCAACCAATGGGCAGCCCGAACGATCCATGGGCCATGGGTGTCGTCTTCTTTTTTGTAGAGATCCGCAAGATCGCCCGATCGCTGGAACTCGCACCTCCCACAACTCTTTTTGTGACCTACTGGGCGAGGGGTTGCTCCCCCTTGCCCCCCGACCCCAGGCGAGCAACGCGTGGCGAACCGCGCCGGTCACGCCGCACCGCGCCGGTCCCGCGCCTGGCAACTCTCCACGGTGACCTCATCAGCCAACAGCCGCGGCGGATCCTGGACCGTGCCAAGCCACACGAGGACTGCTCAACGCGGCGGCCAGGTGGAAGGGTGAAGAACTGGGGGGGCCAGACCTGCCAGACCTGAAGGTCCATTCTGTGTCGGGTTCTTTTTGGCCTGAGAAACCGTGTCTCGCCGGGTTGCTTCTTCGAGTTCGTGCAGTAGTAGCTATACTTCCATGATGGACCATTGATGCAATTGCAGAGCTATCAAAGCTATCTCACTTCTGCGATGTCTCTTGTTCATCAACTCGTCTATATCAGAAGTAGTGCATTTGCCAAGCTGGATCAGCTTCTACAAAAACACTGCTATCCTCAGTGTCTTCGGTTTGGTTGATGTTAGGTTGGCCCTCAAGCTTTAGGAACCACCTTCCGACTCCATAGTGTCGACACCTGGGCATTCCAGAGTCCTGGGCCTGCTTTGTTGGGGAAACGAAGTGACCTGGGACCTCAGAAGTCACCTGCAGGACTTTCCATGCCATGTCTGGATCTCTCCTCGATGTCAAAGATCTGCAAGTAGATCTGCCGGACTTGAAGATGTTCCACCTGAACATCGCCCATTCGAACACGACGACTGCGCAAAACAGGAGAGTGCGAACTGAGGGAACTGCACTGGGCGGGTCAAACCTTTTTCAGGGAAAAGGTGGTGCAGAGATGTGCAGAGGAACTCCGAAGCAGACCAAGCTTGGAACCTAGAATCCTCAACACACACGGAATCTGTTGAACAAACCAGTGAAGTGGAAGAAACCTCCTTGGAAACCTCTCTGGTCCCAAGAATTCACTTGACGGGTTGGTCATGCACCTCTTCCCTCCCGTTTGTACCCTACGACCTCGCGCCCAACCCCGATTCCGCGGAGTTCCGGCTCCCTCCCTCCTGGCCGTGGGCAAGTTGCGACCCCGGTGAGTTCGCCCCTGCGCGGCTCCCGAAGCCCCAGCCATTCCGACCGCCCCTTTAGGTTCGGGTCCAGGGTTGCGCTCTGGGACTCTGGGCTGGAAATCAAACATCTTCCGCAGGTGGCTGGGGATTGACCCAGTTCGGGAAACCGCTGCTCTACCCCAGAGAGTCCAGTGAGTCATGACTCCTTATGGGTTGTGGTGGATGATGACTGCCAGGTGGGGTTTAATGAGTGGAAGTTTGCAATACTTGAGACCTCTAACAGGGCCCTTGCCACCCCTCCAAAGGAGACCTGTTGATTTTCTCCAACAAATCGCGGTTTGATGGCCCCTCACTCCACCTTCCTTTGCTTTTGAACCCACCCCCCATAACCAATGGCCTCCTTTCCGAAAAACGCAGTCCTCCGATTCTTCCTATTCCTCCCGACACATCTCCCACACATCCAGCGACCCCATCTCGTCCGCGAGATCGTTGGGGTCGCACCTCCACTTGAGGGTCTGAAGGCACCAGGCTGATCTCCAGTTTCGAGACCTCTCCTGCGCCCACCTCAGCGGAAGAGAGCGCCAGCCGCGCCAGCGGCATGCGGAAGAGGAGCCAAAGAGGTCGTGTTTGTCGGTTATGACTTTTCTCGTCCGATGACAGAAGGAATGTGGGAGCAGACAAGACACTTGAAGAGCTATAGTTGATGTTGTTTTTAGAGTTAGTTGTACGAGTATGTTAATTCAGTGAATTTTGAAAACTGGTGCGGAGGTTTCCAATGTAAAATGATGCAACGCACTGCAACAAAAAGAAATCACAAGCGGCTGCCCCCTCTCTTTTCCAGCGGACAAGTCTGTCTCCACGAACGGCCAGGGCGATGAAGCCCGGGCTATGGCACAACGATCGAACAAGGGCCGGTCAGGCCGGGAGAGGGTGGACCACACGGGTGGACCACTCGGGTCTGGCAAATGGCTGCGGACGTCGAGGCCAATGCTCATGCGACCTGCAAAACAGCGGATTTCACACTCATAGTTTTCTTTTGTTGGGCTCGACAATTTCGCTGTTTCTCTTTCTGCAGCCGATTTGCTTCTGTTTGCACCAACGAAAAATATCCATCTTTCAGAAAGTTCAAAAGTACCTCTTTATCAGCTCCAGCCTTAGTAAGTATGTTCGCCATGTTCTGTTGACCATCTATCCAGCGAACATGTGCACCGGGACGACGAACGGTCTCCTTGAGAAGCGCGCCTTCAATGGCCATGCGCTTATCTGAACTGGTCGATGTCGCATCTTTACTCAAATAAACAAAAACTGAACGTGCATCTGTCACATAAATTCTCATTCTTTGCTCAATGATCTGGGGCCAATTCTTCAAATCAACACTACCATGGAAGGCTTCATGTAAAAGCACTGCTATCCAATCTCCGGCCTCGATCGACTCTGAAAGGTGACTTGCTTCGGCAGCCAAGGTGCTTCGACAAACTCTTTTGGTCTGGCTGCTATGATAGCAAATGAGGTTTGCTCGAACTGTTTCACCTTCCAATACTGACGGGTCACCAATCAAAATGTAGTAACCGCCAACTGATCTGTATCTCAAAATATCATCTTTCTCCGGTGTCCATTTGCATGTCCGGAGTCTGCCCAATAAATCAATGCTCCTTTCTCTAAATTAACATCACTCCAATATCTAGTTCGCATGCAAGCTCCACGACGTGCGGCCTCAATGGCCTGCTTCAATCTCAACAAGTCCTTGATCGTGGGGTTCTTCTTGCAACGTTGCACACAACCGTTGTCGAATGCAAGATCACTGCGAAGCTGTCTGGTAATCCAACCAAGTTCACCTGCTCCTGAATTCAAAATCTCTTTCTCTTCAGCATTCAATTCAGCGTCCACATTTTCTCCTCGACTCTTGTCGATCTTGATCTTACTCATGCCCAAAGCATAGTTACTCATGCTCACATCAATGTGGCCACCAAAAACTTGACCACGCTCATCCTTCAGCTCTTGCTGCGACAACTCACGACCTCTGAAAGTGAAATTGAGCCGATGGTTCGTGGCAAAATCAAGGGCTTTAGAACTGTTTGCAAAAAGTTCTTTCTCCAATCCGGGTTCGACTCCACCTTCAATGTCATCGACATGTGTCACAAGAACACCGTTCAAACCTCCATCTTCATTTCGATGGTAGAAAAGTGCTGGTTCCAAAACACTCTCAACCCATCCATCGCTAATCAGGTGTTCTCTTAATGCGAGCCAAAACAAACGAGCGGCTTCTGCGAAACCATAGATTGCCTTCTTTGCTTTCAACAAAACTCCACGCTGCAAACCAGGAAGGCCTCCACGAGGCTGCTCAAGAAAAATTTCCCGTTCCAGAGGCTTGCCACAAAAATATCCATTCTTCACATCTTTGCTGATCAAAATGAAACGAAAGTAAACAACAAGGCAAAGCAAAATGCTCTCTGCGATCTGGGAAGCTGTCGGGGCGTCTCTGCGGTAGCGCCCTAAGGATTTGTCTTTGAATCCTTGGACAACCAATCTCGACTTCGCCTTGTATGGATCAACGGCAGGGTTTTCAGCTTTGTTTGTGCGGACCCAACGTGTTGGAACAATCAAGTCTGGCTTCTGGCGCCGCACTCATAGGCTGTCCTCTAAACTCAGGACATCGCAAGCATCTTTGTCTTGCCAACCTTGCCACTCTTTGCCATCTGATCCACCTTCACCTGTAAATAATTCTTGAATCTCTGGGGAAAGGTCTTTCAATTGGACTTCTTTGCGTCCTTTCTTTGCTGCTGCATTCAAACTGCCACCGGGACTAAGAGGATTTGCTTCTGACATCTCTGAAGAAAAACACTCCTCATGTTCCCAGACCAAGTGCAGTGGTTGAAGAAGAGCCGCAGGACGTCATCATGAGTCCGTCCATTGCACCAGCAGAAGAAGCAGTTGAACCAGAGGAGACGGCCGAGGCAAGAGAAAAGAGGCTCGGAAAAGAATGGTCCGAGCGTGATCGGAAGCGCATGGTCCGATCCAGTGAGTTCTTCAAGAAGAAAGAGCAAGACCGCAAAAGCAAGAAGGCAGTTTCCATTTCGTCTTCAAGGTCGGCGCCCTCTTCACTCGAAAAGATGCTTGAGGAAGCGGCTAAAGTGCCCGTCGATCCTGAAGAAGATCCAGAGTTGGAAGGATCCGAGATGGTTCCTTTTGACCTTGATACAGATGATTATCATGCACAAACAGCACCAGAGATTCCACCGCTTGAAACCACCACAGCTAGAGCAGAGGCGGAGGAACGTGCAGCCAAACGCTTGAGGACTAACAGCCCAAAGCCACGTGAGGGAGCATTGTTTTCCTACATGGTTTTGCAGGACCCAATGTTTGGCTGGAGAGAGCACGATCGCAGTACATGGAGAAAGAGCATTTTTACAGCAGTTTGCACGTGAGTTTAGAAGAGTTTATGTTTGGGGTTGAACGAAATGTTTTTGATGATCGTTTGTGAAACCGTCTGGAGGCGGCGGCAGCTTCCGCCTCAAGTCTAAGAAGGTGTTTGAGCTGACTGAGGGCGTCGCGTCAATCAACTCTGATACACGACTTGTCACCATCCAACCTTTCACTTCATCATCGTCTGCTAAACTGAGGTTCTCCGGTGAGGCTGCAACAAGGATGCCTCTATGGCTCAACCAAACGGTGTGACTACCGTCGTGTCCAAGTACTCTTGCATTGCCTCTCCAACAATGTGGTCCATGCTTTGCATCTGCACCTGACATGTCATAGTAAAAGACAAAACTACCAACTGGGAAAGGACCACGGCTTGGACGAACCTTGCGAAGTTCTGCTCTTCTCAAAACATCACTGTTTGCTGTTCGAACGCAAGCTTCTCTTGCAGCGGTTCTCAACTGCAACTGCTTGTAAAACCTAGTGCCAGGTGTCAATGCAGCTGCTTGAGCTCCAATGCGGGCCACTTCTCCATCGTCCAGCAGGTTTGCAGGTACACGGACAGAGCGTCCGAGCACCCATTGTTCAGGCGAGAAACCTGATCTGCGAGACAAGGCATTCTTTGCCTTATTCACTTCAGCCGTAGCAACCCTCACTTGCTGCACACCACTGATCTGTTGTGACCAAGCAACACGACGCCAGATCGACTTCCAGGTACCACCATGTCTCTCAACTGCGCCAATGTGCCAAGGTGATGCTTTTGCAGCAATGTTGACTTCACAGCCATGCTCCTCAAGCAACTTTGCAAACTCACCCATAAAATACCGAGTTTGATCAACAACAACGCCCTTTTCAGGCATTCCTGCCCAGCTTGCCCAATGTGTTGTAAAAGCATTCAAGATCTCAGCACTTGTGGGATTGCGGTGCGACTGGTCGAGGACTGCACAAACTTGGAATGTAGTTGCCAAATCAAGTATATTCAACCAGATTCAACTCACGCCATCTGCACATTTCTCCTCGAGAACATCAAGTCCAACAATGATGCCAAATTCATCGACCACGGGCAGCTTTGAAGGTCGAGGGATCTTTGGCTCCAAAAGTCTAGGACACTCCTTGCACCGAAAAAGTTTGCATGCTCTGATTGCTGCTTCACTTGCTCTACTGATGCGCAAACATCTCAACATGTCTGGCAACCTAGCGTGTCCCAAGTTCACATGGACGCGACGAAGGGCTAAACGCAACTCTCGTGGAACACGATTCCACTTTGCATCAGCTGCCTCTTGAGGCTCCGGTTCCTCCGCTGGAGGTGATGCATGTGCATCCTTTCCAAACAACATGACGGCCAATTGCCTAGGCCTTGTAGGAAGTGCTCGAATCTGCGAAGAAACTGGCTGCTTTGTCCACTCTTCCCAACCTGTTGTAATGACATCGTCATTGTCCATCAACAGAATGGCTTTCCGAAGTGGTGCCTCAAGTGGGCCTAACCGAGGTTGCGGCTTCTTCATACGACGTGCGACACGTGAAACAAGGATAAGGTTAACGTCTGTTTGCGCCACCTCCATGTCCTTCAAGCGTTTTGCAAGCTGTTCTTGATCTTCCAAAACAGACCAATTCACTGCACCATTGTCAACACTCCAGCGTAAAAGTTCACGCAAAGTCAACAGAACATCTGCTCCATGCAACTTGCTCCATGCACCTCTGCGAACCTCCTGAGTCCTAGGCCTGCGTCTCAAAACATTGCTAGGTGTCATCGGTGCTGCTGTTGCACGGGATGGTGCTACAGGTTCTGCTTCAGGAACTGCTACATCTCTATCACCTGAAGGGTCAACTGGAAAAGGTGTTTCCGGCTCATCCTCTGCTGACAACTCTGTTCTTGGCATTGGTGGTGGAGGCAAACTCGCCTCAAACTCTTCCATCTCACGACGGATCTTCTCAGACATTCCAGGTGCACGCGGTTGCGGTGGCTCCTCACCTGAAGACACGTCAACAACCTCGTCGTCATCAACAACATGCACTGGAAAAGCAGATTGTAAAATAGCGGGGCAACTCCTCCGATCAGCAATGTAATCATTGACAATGCTCTGTTCAACTCCTTTCAAAATTGCCTCACAAAGCTGTCTAGGGTAGACTGCTGCTTCTTTTGATCTGCGGTGTCCGATGATCTCCTCATGAGCTCCCGGCGGACATTCGCATTGAAGTCCAAGCTGGTTCAAGATGAACTCATTGTTCGAAAGCCAACCTGTCCGCTTCTTGACTGGTTTTCCTGACACGCGGTCAACTTTCCCGTAACGGCATTGATCACTCTGTAAGATTTTTGCCAATGCCCTCTTGAACAAGTGTCATCAAAAAAATCCTTCAAAGATCCGGCTATATGCTCCACCAGGGTTTTCTATCAAATAGTATCTCCCTTCTCGCACTTGCCTTTTGCAAATCTTCACGACCAGCTTGAGGGTCATTCTGCCTATTGTTTTGCGCAAAGCTTCCCAATCAATGTGTCTGTTGAGGTTTGTAAGTGTGCTCCACAAAGCGATCAAAACCAAGTATGGATTGTGTTGCTCCAGTGTGTTATCAAGTAAAGCTTTGCCACGACTGCTCAACAAATCGTAGCCATCCAACAAATCAAGCGGCTGACTGTTGATCCAACCTCTTGTTGCTGCAGCTAGTCTTGTCACTGGGAATGTACCACACCATGGTTCAAAGATCATAGTCCAACTAAAGCCGTTTGTTGCCATGTCCTCTGCTTTGTTGTAGTTGTGCTTCAATGCTATCCACATGCGATGATCCAAAACACGTTGCGACACGGCCGACCGTTGCAAGGCTTCAAATCTAGCAGCATGCAACTGTTTTCTAGCATCTTCTCTTCTCACACCACGAGCCGTCAGGTCTGGAAGTTTGACCATAAATGCCTCTTCCAAGCTGTCAAGCTGTAACAAAGGTGTGGTATCTTGAAAGATGCTCTCTTCAGCTTCCTCTGCAAAATAGAGTGCTAAATCTTCCGCCTCCGATTTCAAGATCGGTGCTCGTTTCTCTGTGTCTTCGCCAGGATCAAACAAATTGTCAAAGCTCACCTCAATCGCTCTGTGCTTCGTCCTTGTCTGTACCAAGGGCGCTTCAACACCAAGCTCTTGCAAACGAATCTTCCTTTGTCTCATGAAAATGACTGCATCCAAAGAATCCAGGGCTGAAATGGATAAAAGCAATGGAGTGTTCCCTTCTGGAATTTCAGCAGAGAAAACAGTGCCCAAGCGTCCGCCTAGACACAATGGAATTTTCCATACTGTCACGCTGTTTTGTGTGCTTGACCCGTTTGCAAAATGGAACTGCTTGCGCATCTCCGTCGGTTCAACGAAGTCCAGGTGGAAGGAACTGTTCAAATGCTCTGCGCCAACATGTAGAATGCATGCAAGCCGTACAAGCTGTATCAATAAGAGCTAGTTTGGCCTCGTTGGCGTCGGCTCCTTCTCCAATCTGATGGTAAGCACGCTCCAACTCCTCCGGTAAAGCCAAGAGAGACGGGTCAGCTAAATTCTCATCACCATCAACGAATTCTGCACTCAAGGTTCTTGAATTCTCTTGCAGCACTGATCGAACCATGTAGGCTCGATCCTCCTCCACATGCTCCTCAGCGAAAGGAACCCGATGCCGAGCCCGATGAAGGCCCTGCACCGGCTGCTGCCAAGCCCTGCACTCTTGCCAACGACTCACGAAAGCGAATCATGCCATCACGGTAGTTCATGGTGAACCTGCAACCGGTGATCGGGTACCGACTGCATGCATAGAACTTGCCACCATCTTCACGATTTCTCTTGCCGATCATGGCTGCCTGGCAAATCTCACACTTCATGTGCCAAATTGACACGTCCTCCTGGAAGAGCTCATCTTGTGTGTACCTTCCATGAGGTCCGATGAAAGGCGCATGCTCCGGCAAGGTGGGCGCCGGACTGCTCTTGGCGGCTGGCTTCGCCGTTGGCTTGGCTTTGGGCGTGATGATGCCCTGATCACCTTCCTTGAGCTCCTTCACAATGAACTTCTTTCCGGATCCTCCACGGTTTGGCACTGGGTGACCACCGAAGAACTTCGACAAACGCTCAATCAGTTCATTCTTCTTCAAACCCGAATGCGCAATGTTGAAGCCAATGCACAACTCCTGCAACTGAGTCACACGCTTGTCATACAATGTAAGGGTCTGCTCCTCCTCGGTGATGGAAACACGCTCAACATCCATGCCAAGCTCACGAAGGGTCTGGATGGTCTGCTCTGTGCTTGCCTCAACCGACTGGTATGGCACGCCGCAAATGACAACTCGCTCCGGGGCATAGCCATGATCTGGTTCTGGTGGACCATCTGGAAAGCTCACCACGGACCATGACTCACTCTGCTCACGAATGCGACGGCGGCGGCCGTCGGGGTCTCCTGCATCAATGGGCATCTCATCCTCATCATGGGTCACGCAGACGAAACCGAGGTCTTCATCTCCTTCACCGAGCGTGAAATAACTGGGGAAAGGCATCTCACTGACAATGTTTGCTGAACCCTTCTTCTGCTTGTCCTTGCCACGAGATTTGCCCTTCTTCTTTGCTGAGTCTCCTCCGGTCTTTCCACACTCTGGATCACCTGCCCAATGGCCAATGCGGCCACAGGCACTGCATCGTGAGCGCTCTTTCTCACGGCTGATGGCTTTCTGGCGCTCTTCCCAAGTGAACTCACCTTTGAAAAAGCCTCTGCTCTTCTGCAAGTTCTTGAGCTTCTGACGTTGCTCCTGATAGCCTTTTCTCTGGCGATCCATGGCAGCATAGGCCTGAAAGATCTCATCGTCTCCTGATGCACCGATGTCTGATGAAGGCTCCTCAGGCTCCCACTCGGTCTCATCGTGGGCTTCTGCTGCATACTCTGTAACGGTGTCCGGATCAGCCTCTGTCAACTCATCCAACCAATCTTGCTCTACGGAATCCGGTTCATCCTCAACCCAATGGCTATACTGCCGCTTGCCCTTGCCTTTGCCTTTACGGCGAACATAGCGACTCTCATCATAGCCACCACGAGCTTTCTCTCGTTCATGCAAATCATGGTAGGAGATCTTGAGAGCTTGCTCAATGCCTTCTTGGGTGTAGGCTGAACGATTGGCCAACAAGATTGCACGACGGTCTTCACGACTGAGGTTGGCTCCACGCAACAGAAAATAGGCCTGCAGATCTTCCGACATATTTGAAGCATCGTCCAAATGCTTCAAGTCACGCCAACACTGTCGCTTCTCTCTGATATAGGTGTAGATGTCTTGACCTCGACGACGATGGCTGCGATCGAAAAACTTCTCAAATGCTTCTGTCTTGCGAATGATCACCTCCTTCTCAATGCCAGCGAGGGCTTCAAACACTTTCTTGTATGCATCTGTTGCCTTCAATGCTTCCGAGTCTTTCAACAACTCTTGGCATGCAACCCATGCTTCGCCATGCAAACCATCAATGAGACGACGTGCAAAGCGTCGTTGCTTGCGAGCTAAATCATGCTCTTCCTCCTCCTTGGTCTTGCCATCTCCTTCAAGTCCTTGAAATGCAAACAACACACGCTGCCTGTACTCCTTGAACAACGATGGAACTGCACCAGAAAAATGTGGAATACCTGCTGAGTCAACTAAGATCTCATCATCCTTGTAACATGGCAGCTTGGCCCGATCTGTTCCAGATGTCATTGCGGAGTAGCACAGTGGAGCCAGGATTGACCTGGCTCCGCTACCAGTTTGAAAACTGGTGCGGAGGTTTCCAATGTAAAGTGATGCAATGCACTGCAACAAAAAGAAATCACAAGCGGCTGCTCCCTCTCTTTTCCAGCGGACAGGCCAGGACGAAAGTCTGTCTCCACGAACGGCCAGGGCGATGAAGCCCGGGCTATGGCACAACGATCGAACAAGGGCCGGTCAGGCCGGGAGAGGGTGGACCACACGGGTGGACCACTCGGGTCTGGCAAATGGCTGCGGACGTCGAGGCCAATGCTCATGCGACCTGCAAAACAGCGGATTTCACATGAATCCTGATAATTTCAATGAAGATTCCGCGTGCATGGACGCGAGGTGTACTTGGCTATCCCATTGCCTTTGTGGAGAGCTATTCCATTCCAAAAAAAAAGGTGGCCTTCCCCAGTGAGGTCCTCACTGGTTGGCTCGTTCGCCAGGGATTGACCCTCGAACCGGGAAAATCCCTAGAAGTCCAAAGAGACGATATGTTGACCGGCTGAAGGTTTCAGGAAGTTCCCGAAATCAGGTCCCCTAAAGTAAAGACCATTCTTTTGATAGTCTGACCGACTCCCAGGGAAAAGAGAACCAAACCTCACCTGATCCACCTTCTTCGGTCCCAGGCCGATCACTCCAGCTGCGGTGAAACCACCACCACCACCATCTCGCACGGCCGAAGGCTCGACGGAGCGACACTCGCTTCCGCCACTCGCCACTCCCGGGGGGGTCCGGGTCGGTCCGAGTGGTGAGAGAAACGAGGATTGGTTGAGTGGTCGAACGTTGAAGGAAGGCGCCTGAAAGGATCACCCACCTGATCAGACCATGTAGGACATCGTAAAATCGCGGAGCTTTTTAGGGGGTGACGGTCACGCCGAAACGAAATCACACGGTCCATGGAGGAAGGTTGATGAAAAAAAATAGAAGTTCAAGTAAGGGTCGGCATAGAGATTGGCAAATCACCTCTAATTTGTGCCCTCTAGAAAGCATTGAAATCAACATATAATTGATATGATTGATATTCATATGTATACAAAATCATTCTAACCTTTGTTAGGACCCTGGCATCAGCCTCCCCCTTTCCAAAAAACAGTTTTTAAGTCGCTTGATCCTTGGATCTCACCATGTTCCCATCGTGGCCCCACACCCCCCCAGATCTTCTCGGTTGTCCGAGCCACGTTCAGCGCCACCGCGTTGCGTTCAGCGGATCCCTCGCCCGTGAGCGCGTGGAGCTTCGGCTTGTAGCCCTCCACGTGGATCACCTCGGCGCTAGACGGCCGTCACGAGAGTCGAGAGACCTTGGGTCGAATTCGCGGTCTATCCTATGACCAGGGCCCACTGGATGATGGGGCCTGGTGGCCCAGATCTCAAAGGCCTAGTGATTTGCTTGGTTTTCAACCTGACGGCTTTACGGGTTTACCGGGACAGACTCAACGGACATGGTTGTGGGAATAGACAATAGAGCCTGGACAGGAAGTTTCAGCCATATGGGTGGTTGGTGGTCCAAAATAGAGGTCACAAGTGGCACCAGGTACGTCATGCACATTCAGGTCCGTCTCTGTCCAACGTTGTCACCTGTGGTCAGTCTCTATTCTGACGAGGTGTGTCGTCGATGTTGACCACGGCACCCAGAACATTCACACATGCCCTCTTCATACTCTCTTAGGTCTTCTCTCCAAATCACCGCTTTTACACCTCCATACTTTCAACACCACCTTCGACTGAAAAGGGGCTCGAACCATTCCATTCCAGCTTTCATCCCAGCCGTGTGGCCACGTCCAGCCACACGCGGCGGTTTCCGCCGCTGGTCACATAGCCCACGTGGCCATAGCGTAGCACTGGTGGAAAGCGATGGCTGGACGTCATCAGGTTGTTGTAGTTCACCTGCCGGTGTAGCAACAGTCAAGCAGATTGTGAAGGGAAACCGCCCTGGACCCCTAAATGGTAGTTAATGGACACCCCTTGACCTCCTAAGGGGCTATTGATGGACACCCTTTCTGTGGTGGCTTCGGGAAACGGAACATCGACCCTAGGAGTGGAACACCCATACGACCGCGCTGGGGGCCTCATCGACCGCGGCACGGTGCAGTGGAGGTGTGTGATAAGGGCACTGGCACCGTACTAAGCTATCCCAACGTCGACTGAAATACCAGGACCCCCAGGCGCAAGGGGGTGGTGAATGGACACCCCAAAACAACTGCTCAGTGGCTATAAATAGACACCCCGACTGGGAGGTCCTGGTATAAACCCTTTTATGTCAACCTATGTGTGACCTACCTACATGGCGGACGACTCGACCTACCCTGAACCACCCACCCATCCCCCGAGCCCTCAACAAATCGGAACACCGAGCTCACCGTGGGCACTGGCACCGCCCAATCTCCAGCCACGCAGGTCAAATCCCCCCTTCATCTGCCCGAACATCTTCCGAAATGCTTTGGCCCAATCTTCGAAGAAAAACTCGAAGAAACCGCCCAATATATCCGCTGCACGTCCGAACCATCCGCCGATCCGCCGATCCGCCGCCCCGCCTTGGCGGCTCGCAGCGGCAACGGCTGTGGTATGCCGTCCCCATCGCCGTGCGCCGCCGCGTGCGCATGGTCCGGCGGCGCGTGCGGCGCGTGGTCAGGCGCGTGGTCAGGCGCGTGGTCAGGCGCGTGGTCAGGCGCGTGGTCATGCGGCGCGGTGGACGGAGGAGCATCGCTACCGGTGCCCAGGAGTTCCTGCTGTAGGACCTGGCAAGGGTTAGAATGAGATGAAAAGAAATGGATCTTCCAACTATAGAACCGGTGCCCACGTCTCCACAGGCTGTTTGACAGACCCGCACAGCGTGGTGTCTCGTCATTGAACTGGTTAGCACACCTGGAAACTCCAAGTAAATCCAGTGCTGTTGCATGCTTTGGGGATGCGTTCGGTGGTCTTTGACGTCCAAAATGATTCACCATCGCGCCAATCGCTGAACCATCGCACCTGCCGCACCCCAAGGGTGTCCGCAACCACTGGCACGCCCAGCTTGTGAGTGAGCCTCAGCCCGGCAACTCCAACAAAACCAACTGGGCGACACAGGTCACGGTGAAACCCCCTCAGCCCTCAGGATCCAAATACCTTCTGAGGTACGGTGAGCAGGGAGACTATTCATGTGCGGGCTCAAATACCTGAGAAGGCATGTGGATGCATAGGGGCAGCTGGTCTCCTGTTCTTGGTCAAAAATTTTGGGCCCTGGCGCCAGGCCTAGGAGCTCTTGGCCGAAGGTAAGGAGGGCAGGAATTGACCCTTTCCATCTACTTCATGCACTCAAACCACCCCAAGTGATGGATCACTACAACCTCTGTTGAGACTTTGAATGGCTTTCCATCCCTGAAAATGGGTTTTCCATCTCTTTGCGATGAGTTCGGACTTCCACTTGGCCACACAGACCTCATAAGACTCTGCATACCTCGTAGTCCCAGCCCAAAAGGCTTCTATTCTTCCAATGATGGCTGCTGAGAGAGAGAGAGAGGTGCACGTGGGCACAGGAAGTGGCTTTTAGTTCCTTTTCCGCTTTACAACGAGATCTTTGGGACACTCTTGTCGAAGAAACTTTCGTTAACATGATCTCTTTCCCTGGACCCCCTGTCGGGGTGGTTGATGGACACCCCAAAAGACCTCGAAGGGGCTATGAATGGACATTCGAAGAAACTAAAAACATGACCCTACAGGTCTTACGGACCTCATTTGACTCAATCCGGTCATGCAAAACCCAGTACTCAGTGAGGTCAAGGACCAGGATGAACTTGGCCCTTTGGACGGGTTCGCTCCGCTACCTCGAGCTGCCGCCCAGTGGCACGGAGGAGAAGCGTCGTCCCATGCTGGGCGGTTTGCCCCTAAGCTCCTGGAGACCCTCCGGGTCGTTGTCCGGGTCGGGGCTTCGTGGCATGGCTTGGTGGCATGGCTTGGAGCTCTTTGCCTGTTGTGGACTGAGAGGTCCAACAAACAAGTCAAATCAGAAAAGAAGCTCAAGCAAAATTCACGGATTCAGCTACTGACCCACAAAAGAATTTCCACACAAAGACCACGCATCCTTTCTATTGGTTTCAAAAGGCTGGCAGGCTTCCAGGTGCAGTGAAGAGGCTCCAGTCATTCAATCCCAACAAAGGTTGAAGAACCCTCCTTTTCAGATCATTTTACCTCTCATTACGAGACTTCGTGGACCAGCCACCACTACCCATTACCAGCTCTTTCCACACCACCACACCCTTTCGCGCCAACAAAAACATGTGTTTATGGTTTTGGGATGTCTTTGGTCTCCAGCTTGGTGTGGAGCACCACGGAGGCCCAGGGCTTCTGCTTCATCTCCAAGGGCATCGCTGACAAGCCCTGCAGGCGCATGGCTTGCACCACCTGGCCCGGCACCGTCGAACACATGCGTCCAATTCAAAGTGCGGCTTCGGGTGGTTGGAAGACTTCCACCCAGACGCGACCCCCGTGAGTTCGCCCCTTTCGCGGCTCCTGAAGCAAAGCTATATAGGGATTGGTGACGGTTTCCGGTCCAAGCCCTAACCCGTTCGGAGGAGGAGGTCCGACCTGTTCAGGGGATTCGGATCTTCCTTACCAGTTCGGCTTCGTTCTCCGTTGAAGACGAACACCGTGGCGGCTTTTTCGGACCGAGCGTTCCGAGAGTCCAAAGGATTTTTGACAGATTGACCCAGCCGATTCAGCCTATGTAGTTGTATTCAGCCGATCAGCCTACTATCCAGCTTCTTCAAAGTGACCTTTTAAGGGTTCCCAAGAACGGGAGGCTTGTTTGTGACCTCAAATTCGGATATCAAGTTCGGTCACTTTGAAGAACCAGGATTGTGTCTAGGACCCACTGTCGGGGTGGTTCATGGACACCCCGAATCACCTCTAAGGGGCTATCAATAGACGCCTCTGGCCCGGGTGTCCTGGTATATGTAGTCTATCCAGCCTACTATTCTGTTCATGTTCGGAGGTCTGGCCAAGCGCGTGTAGTCCCCCTGGTGCGACCCACGTCGCCCTGGTTCGATGAGTCGCCGATGGTTCCGAACTCTGAACGGATGGACGTGTGGAGGTCGCGTGGACTCCACGTGTTTTCAGCACCAAAAGCTCCTGGACCTTCCTGGGCCCAAAAACCGTCGACTTCCACCCCGAAAACCAACACCACGATTTCCATCGTGGCGAGGCCACGCGGACCCGAACGCGCCTCTGGAGCCTATTCCAGGTCCAGAGTCCAGTCGACGATGGTTTAAAATGGTCTGACTAGGTGACTAGGTCTGACCCGAGTCGACTGGAATCGCCCCAAGAATCGTCGAACTGGACTTCTAGGGAGGTTGTAGAGCTGACCCAGCAGGGTTCCCAACAACCTTCTGAGAAGGTGTTGATGGGTTTGGGTGTATCCTATTCCCTGGGCCCAGTGGATGATGATGGTCGGGTTGGCTAGGTTCCAAGCATGTTATCTCTAAAAGTGTTATGTTTTTGTGAAACTTGATGTCGCCAAATAGATAGTAGCACGGTGTCCAATACTTTTTCTGCGTGGGGATCTACAATGTTCTATCTATGACAGGGGGTCTATATACAGGTTTACTGGGACACACGCAAGGTTTTGAAGGGTCTAATAATAACTGCTCCGCGCGCAGCGCTCCACTGCTTTTCATGAGGTCAACTCCAGATTGATGTCAACTCCTTCAGTATCTTAATTTCAGTTCCAACAAACATACAGTAAGAATTCACGAGGAAAAAACTTGTCATTAATCCACCATTAATAAACCCACACATAACCCCCCCGTTTCACACACTGCTTGTCCTCTTTGGGATCGTTTTCGGACACTACCCTCACGCCCCGTCATGCCCTCCAAAAATAAAACACCCCATCAATGTTTGACCGGTGGTTCAACGACGACCCATTTCCACCAACCGAATAAAGACTCTGTCGGGTGCCTCTCATGGTGAGACCACGAACTTCACGGGGGGATGGAGTACGGGGTTTATGGACACCCCATTTTCCTATGTGTTCCATCCGACACCCCCTTTTTCCGTATGTTCCCTCCTGTCGGGGTGCCGTCTGGAAGCAGTGTGGGGTAGTCCAGCCAGGACACCCCAACTGGATGGTCCTAGGGGTATGTCTGTTCCATCCAATCACCACTCCAAAACCTTCCAGCTGAGTCCGGAGCTCCAAGTCCAACTTCCAACAGAGCTTCAGTGACCTGAACGAACGGACCCTACACAATCACTATACAGGGGTACCCAACAGTATCGTCGAAGGGACTATAGGTTCTTCAACCCTCTGCTGCGCTCCTTCCGGGCTGCTAAGCGTTCCGTCGCTCGCTCCGGCTGCTCCGTCCGCCTTGCCGGGCTCCGCCAGCATCTCGGCGAAGCGCTTCGCCGAGGCCGGGTCCTCGGTGGTGACGGAGGCGCGCAGCGCCCGAGCCCCGGAGTCCTGGCGCCGGAAGGCGCGGCGCGGCCGGCGTGGTGGAGGGCATTGGCCAGGTGGGGAGTGTTGCTTGGTTTTGAAGACCTTTCGAGGTGGGTTTTGACCAGTTGGGTTTGGGGGTTCAAGTTGGGCAAGGCTTCTAAGAGTGGTACAAGATATGGTACGTAAGTGTATGTATCTCAATTGGAACAGATCTCGCATGAAGGTTGTCGGAAGATGGATTCAGATGGACATCCATCGAGTACAGTCGGAAGGAGGCCAGTATTCCTGTCCTAAAAACTCCATGGGACTGCCATATTTGCCCACATTGAGCTGTGAAGCCACCCTAATGTAGGCCAATATGCAGTCCCATGGAGTGTCTGGGTAGGAAAAAGCTGCAGCTAGGCACTGGATATAGAAGGTAGGCTTCTCAATTCTGATTCAATTGGAAGATCTCGCGGCCGTCTCTCTCCAACCTCACCATCCTCTGCAACAAATCACCCCCCGCCCCCACCTCTGCCTCTAGCTGACGGCCGCTGCCCGTTTGGTCGCCGGTCACGGTCACTGCAAAGAGGGGAACCCCCAGTGCCTGAAGCCAGTGGTGGGAGTCGGCGATGTGGGAAGTCGGTCATATGATATGCCACATCTGGAGCTGAAGGTCTATCCCCCAGCAGTTCCAAAGGGGTGCTTAATGGAGGTTAAGGGTGCCCATCATCCACTCACTTAGGGACTAAACACCACCCCTTTGCGACTCCTGGCCCATTTTAGTGATGGCCTATTGTGTATACACATCTGGGGCCATGCAACTTCCATCCCGATCCCACAGGTCGTGGGTCTGAAAAAAAAGCACCTCGCGCTTCTTTAAAGGTCTTTTGTGTAAAGAGAGTGATCCAATGGACGATGGCTTAGTCCAGATCCAATCAACACCCTAAAAAAATCCAACCATTGTTTTAATGGTCCGAATCCCAAACAACCATTGTTTTACTAAGGATTTGACACTACACAATTCATATGTTTAATGGTCGTGTATTTAAACTAAGCATTTACCATTTAAACTTAGGATTTTTACACCATTTGAAAAACGGGCTGCGCACCTTTTTTTCAAAGGGCTTTCGGGCCTAGAAGTATTGCGGATGCAGGTGTATGTGAGCGACTGTATGGAATCTATATGCATTCTAACACGGCCTCTTCGCTCGCACACACCTTGCAAAAATCGATGGGCTCTCCTTTCGCCCAGTGTGGCAGGATTCCTCAAAATGAATCACCCTGCCATTTCCACACTTCCTAAAATTCAAACACTTCTTCTCAAGCTTGATGGATCTCTTCTCCACCAGCTGATACATCTGGAAGTTTTCTTCTCGCTGCACTCGGGCCATTTGCAAATCCACCTTCAAATCTTCAATCGTTCCTTCAGCCCGTAGCAGCTCCTGTTGTAGGTCATCTTTCTGGTCTTCCAGCTCTTTGATTTGCTCTTCGTATTTTCTCCATAGGCTGCAATCTAGCCTTTGGATCACTTGCGTTTCTTGGTCATGTCCTGACCTCTGCTTCTTTGCATTTTCATCCTCGTTTGCCACTTCATTTGTCTTTTCCTTGGTGAACATGTTCTCAAAGAACCTTTCCACCATGCACCGAAGCCACTGCATCACGCTCAAGGCCCCGATCAAGGCACACAAAATGAGTGCCCACCATTCGAACTTGTACGCATTGGGCTCAGTCTCGTGGTTCATTTGCTCTCCCGCCACTGTGTCCAAGCTTGCCATCAGCAGCAAAAGTCCCACACGTAGGTCTTTTCCTCCTTTCATCAACTTCTTTGTGCCTTTCTTGATCTGGTATTGATGTTCTATCTCTTTGTATTCCTCTCGTCCAACTCTCTCTCCGATGGCATCGATCATCTTCATCATGTAGAGCAGTCCGAAGAGTCTCTTCTTCGTGAGGCTTTTGGTGCCGACATCAGCACAATTGAGTTCTGTTGGAATTGCAGCTATGTTCATCACCTTCTCCTTCTCCTTTTGCTGCACCCAAAGCAATGAGGCATCTAGATGCCTCACACGGCCGATGCCTTGCCTCTGCACCATTGCCCTTGCTGCACTGCTATCTGATCTCACCTTCATTTTGCACTCTTCTCCTGACATCTCTTGCCATAGGTGCTTGATCAGCATGCCATCTGAGCATCCTGCCACGACTGAGACAAATTCGGGGGTCTCTAGAAGATAGTGCTATTGCTTTCTGGCTTCTGACTCTGCTTTCGATGAGGTTGCCATCTATGTAGATCTGGAATGAAGACGTTGATTTTCTGTCTTCTCTGCTTCCAGCGTAGTCCGAGTCTGTGACCACCTCCAGCAAATGAAATTCTTCTGGATCTACCTCTTCATCTTCTCTTGGGTCAAGCATTGATCGACCTTTCTCCCTTCTGCTGAGGCGAACTCCAAAATCTATGGTACCATACAGGTACGAGCAGAGATGCCAAGCTCTCCTCCATGCTTCTTGCGTTGGTGCTGCCATCTTCTTTGCCAGTGACTGTATAGCAAATTGTGCATCCGGTCTCTCGCTGGCCATGTACATGAGCCTTCCCACAACACTCCGATATTTTGTGATGTCGCTGTCCTCTAGGAGTGGTGACTCATCCTTCTTGATGGCATTTTGGTCCATTGGAGTCTTTCTGTATGCTCTCTTGAACAAGTCCATCTCCTTCTCGAGGCAATCATATTGTTTCCTGTCGCACCTGATGTCCACATATTCACGGGCCACATTGAATTGCCTCTTCAAGTAGAAAAACTTTCCTGGAATGGCCCCTTCTCTTCCACCTTCCATCCTTTCTTCTCCTTGAGGAAATTGACAAACCTCAAAAGGACAGACTCTTTCCCTATCATGAAAGCGTCATCAACGTGTACTGTCAGCATCATTTCTCCGTGCTTGATGAAAAGCGTAGGCTGCATCTGATCCTGTTTCATGCCAAATTCCTTGCAGCCATTTGCAAACAGCTGAAACCATTGCGCTCCTACTTTCCGCTGTCCAGGAAGGCACTTCAACAATTTGTACACCTTCTCTCCAATCCTCACATAGGCCTTCTCGTCTTGTGGTTGTGGGGACATCAGAAAGGCGTCCTTGATGTCAAGTGTCATCCCTGCATAGTTGCTGAAGCAGTTGATCCACAAATGAATCATCATCTTTGGGATGATCATGAGTGATGTAGGTGCAAATGTCTGTTCCATTGCTACACTGCTTTTGAATTGTCGTGCCACCAATCGAGCACGCCGGAACCATCCTCCTTGTTCCAGCCTGTGTTTCCATGTGATAACCATCTTGGTGCTGATGATGTACCCGTTCTCTTTTACCACGTCCTCTTCCTTTGATTCTTGCATTGCTGGCAACTTCAGCATCCTCGCAATTTCCTTCTCTTTTGCTTCTTCGTCCAGCTGGACTTCAATCTCAGCCTCTGACATTTCTGGAGGATCCTCACCTTCTTCACCTCCATATCCCATGTGCTCCTCCGTGATGTCTTCAGGCATGTAGTCCAGTCCTGCTTCTTCGTCTCCATGCACTTCCACGGCTTCTATACCTGCATAGTGAGGTGGGTACAACCTTGATTTCTTCATGCTCGGAGACCCCTCTGCTTCATGTTCTACTTCTTTGTTTGGCTTCTCCTTCTTCTCCTCCATCTCAACTGATTCCTCTGAACCTGTCCTCTGTCTCTTCTCATCTGTTTGCTCGTCCTCTGCACCCCCTCTCTTTGTCACCATCTTTCTTGGTGATTCTGTCGTGTCCTGTCTTTTCGCTTCAGACTCTTCTTCTTGCTGTCTTTCTATACTTCTCTTCAATCCAGCATTTGCCTCTCCACCTTGTGCTGGTGTTCCTGGTGCTGCGAACACCCCAACTGGTGTCTTTGGTTGTGCGGCCAAACCCGGTGCGGGTGTGACCAACCCTGCAGCTACTGTCTTTGACATCTCCTCAAGCTCATCTGGGTTGATGTCTGCTTCGACTGTGGGATTTCTCTGTTGTCTACCCACAATCCTCTTCATGAGAATTCCTTGAGGGGAATAGTTCCACGGCAATCCTTTTGCAATCACCATCTCGAGGGCATTGAATGACTGTTCTGCCGCCAACCTTCTGATTGTCCTGGCTTCGTAGGCACCTTCGGGCGTGAGGACGATGTGCATGTCATTCCACACATGCTTACCACACCATATGCCTCTGATGAAGCCATCTGAACCTTTGTTTCTCACCACTCGCTTGAACATCACACTTTCACCGAACAATGCCAGCTTCCCTCTGTAACTGTGACCTGTGCCCAGTTCGTATGATGTCTTTCCTGTTCCTTCCAACACTCGAAACCTCTTGATCAGGAACGCTGCATGTTTGAATGCCCATGGGTATAGGTGAAAGTTGCCCAAGATGTCGATGTTTGCTTTGTCACCTGCAAAGGCTCTCAGGCAGTTTGCTAAGCGCCTCACTGTTTGCACCCCTCTCTCAGCCAACCCATTTGATTGATGTTGGCCTGGTCCTGTCAACCTTATCTCTGTTTCCAGGCACATCACCTTTCTGACTTGTTGCACTGCTCTCAAAATCTGTCGTGTTGCCCTCTCAGAATCAGCCTGCAAAATGCATGCATCTCTCGAGGCATTTTCCAATGTGAACCTGATGACTTCCTCTGTGATGTGTTTGAGACTTGCAGTGCCCTTGCTTTGAACTGGTACAACATGAATCGCTTTCGTTTCGCTCGATGCCATAATGAGACATGTACCAAACTGGTCTTGCCTCTCTTGCACTTTATCTGGAGCCTTCTGGTCTTCCATCCTCCTTTCTTCACCTGTGTACGTGTAGAAGAAGTCCAGCTCGATGACATTCTTTCCCAGCTCTGGTTTCTTCTTCTCGGAGATATGTTTGTCTTCTTTTGCACGACTTGCCATGCATGCTTGGCACCATGGAGCGTACGGCCAATGGGCGACGAAGTGCAATTCTTGTTCCTTCAATGACGGAAGCTTGGGTTGTCCCAGCGTCATGGGCTTCCTCTGGTTCTCTTTGAAAAGCTTGTTGGCGATGCTCAGCTGCAATTTGTTCTCCAAGTCAATCTTGAATGCGATCAGGCGGGCTAACATCCTCTTCTTGCTCCCTGAATATGGCAAACCTCTTTCTGTACATGCCAACTGCAGCTCCTTGACTGTTGACTTTTCATTGAACACCACCTCATCAAGCTCGACCTCATCCGTCTTCTCTGCTAGGACCACCTTGGGCTTCCCATTGCTCCTCCAGTTCATCTGGTCTTCTTCCGACCATTCGTGGTGCTTGATCTCACCTTCTGGCTCTGGGTATGGAAATGTCGGGACTTCGGCATCTTGCTCCCAATAGTCCCTTAGACGACTTGGGGAGAAGAAACTCAGGGTTCTCTGAGGGTTTTGGTCTGTGGTGACCCTCCTGAAGGCTTTGTCGCCAAGACTGGTATAATCTTCAACATTTTCTAGTTGCCTCCACATACCATCCTTGTCTTTCATGAGTGTCATTCTTGCTTTCCACTCTCCATCAACACTTTGCCTTGCATCCGCCAGCCTGATAGCGACGGGGTCGCTATACACGATGACTCCTGGGGGCAGTTCGAGCTCCTCCACATACTTGCTCAGGAAACCTCTAAGCACATACACTCTCGCACAGTCCTCCTTCTGGCTGACCTTCTCACTCTGCTCCTCCACTTCGACACCAAAGATCCTAGCCTCGAACTGAAGGGAATTCCTTTCTGTGTTGATTGGGATCTTCAAATTCCGCTCCTCGTGGAACAGGAACATCTTTCCATCACTTCCTCCTGAGATGCTCCAACCTTTTCTCAAGAGTCGACCAGCGCACAGTATGGGGTGTTGAACGTTCCCCAACACGAACTCTTCTATCAGCTCGATGTCCTTTCCCTCACTATCCTCAATCTTGATCTTTGCCTTTGTCAGCCCTTGATGGGCTATCTTTGTGCCTTGTGCGTCCACCATCTTCAACTTTTCTGAACCTGGTCGCCAAGTCCCCACTTCTCCATAGTGTAGTGGTAGGACTGAAACATCTGCACCACTGTCCAGCGTGACTAGACAGCTGTCCTGGATGACCGCTTCCACCTTCACCATCTGGATGAACTTGGCTCCTTTTTCTTCCACTTCATGCATTTGCATGTCCATTGCAATCACCGGAACGTGACTGGGTGTCCACACAACAGGCTCTCGACAGTCAAAGAACTCCTCTTCGCTGGGCTCCTCATAGACTGCATTCACTCTCCAAGGATGTTGAATTTCTTCGACAACCTCTTCATACTGCGTAAGGTCAAAGATCTCCGTGGCCTGGTCCTCAACTCTCACCATCTTCACCTGCGTGGTCTCTCGCACTGCTGTAGCTTGTCCTGACGATGAGCTTGCTGCCCCACCAGGATTTTCTTCTACCTGTTGCACGCGCTTCCAACACTCCTTCGCCACGTGGCCTTGTTTGCCACAAATGAAGCATCCTCCTGTCTTGCCTTTTGTCCCTTTCTCAGCGTTCTTGCCTTTCTTCCCTTGTCCTTTCTCCCAAGCACTCTTGCCTTTATCAAAGGACTTCCATATCCCTTTGCCTTCTTGTTTCGACTTTCCTTTGTCCTTACCTTTTGCTTTGCCTTTTCCATCCTTTCCTTTCTTTCCTCCTCTCTTTCCTTTGTCATTGGACTTCCCGATGTAGTCCACTTCCATGGGTGTACTTTCATCTGCGCCTGCCCTGGTCGGAAGAGACAGGCTGTTGCTTGCATCCCATCGTGTAGAAAGCGACTCCAGCTGCATCACCTTCGCCTTCAATGAGTCATAGGTCGTACTGTCATCGACCCACAACTGAAGATGTTGCTTCATGTAGGCAGGGCATCCTTGCAGGATTGAGGCCACCTTCGCATCGTCAGCATAGACGTGTCCACTGATGCGCTCATACTCTGTGACAATTGCTTCGTAATAAGGGAATTGCTCACTCAATGACTTCCCTTCAGCAAATTGCACCCTTGACAGTTGTGTGAGCAATGCGAGGCTTCTTGCCCTTGTTGCCGGTTGCATTTCCTTCAACAACAACTGCCAAGCGCCGAATCCATTCTCCTGCTTAATGTGCTTCACTAGCTTCAGAGGGCGGTTTCGAAGGTATGATGTGAGCACACTGTATAACCTCACTGACATCGTCTTCATGTCATCGGTCATGTCATCGAGGGTGTAGTCGCTGTTGACCTTCTTTTCCACCACATCCATAGCTGCTGCCATTGCTGGATCTATTCCTCGAATGTAGCTGCAAAATGCAAACTTCCAATCACTCCACATTTTCAACTCATTGTCTCTCGTGTCCGGTTTGAACACGTCAGGAGGCTTCAAATGCCTCGACCAGGATTGTGAGGCCTGGTTCACACACAACTTTTCCAAAGCTGCTGCCACCAGCTTCAAACTCTCCTCTGCCATTCTTCGCAGTTGCACTGCCTTTGGATAGTAGCACCTGGAGGTAAGGTGTGCACCGTCCTGTTCAACCTCGAATGGTATGCCGCTGTAGTTGAGGACTTCCCAAAACTTCCACTGGCTTACCAAGGCACCAATTTGTCCTTCTTCAAGGTCCTCTCTTGTTGCCTCTAGCTTGTCAAGAAACTGCCAGCTCGCAGCAACAATCACTATGAGCTCCCGGCAATCCCTCTTCTTCCTCTTCTTTCCACTTTTCTCCCTCACCAGGAGACTGGCTTTGGCTGCTCTGTCGCTCTTCAGCCACTTCAGCTTCCCGATGTACTCGTCGGCCTCCACGTAGACACTGTGGAGGGTCCTTCTCTTGATCTTCACAGGACCGGCAGGTCCTGATCCGCTCTGGTAGTAGCAGATCTCTTGGTGTGCTCCTCCAACTGCAAATCCTCCGGCCAAACAGGCAAGGATCAGCAGCTCACAAATCCAAACACCTTTCCAACTCGAAGTCGAACTCGCGGATGTCGGTCGCGTCGTTGTGCACGTGTGCGGGAGCCCCGGCTCTTACGGCCAGGGCTCCGCTACCATGAAAAACGGGCTGCGCACCTTTTTTTCAAAGGGCTTTCGGGCCTAGAAGTATTGCGGATGCAGGTGTATGTGAGCGACTGTATGGAATCTATGTGCATTCTAACACCATTACTAAGGAGTCAGCCTGAGTCAGTCTTTTTTAAAATGGGTCTTCGAAGGCGAACCGGAACACACCGTCCTCGACTTGGGATTCCCAACGACTATAACGTACAGCCGTTCTCGAGCGGGAGCACGAACCAGACCCGAAGAACACTGGACCAAGCTCAGGGTGAACCCCAACAACGAAAATGCGATGGAAGTTGGAGAAGCTTCACCCATCCACCGTCATCCACCGCTTTCCGGATGCTGCTTTCAACTCGGAATCGATGGTCGTGAGACGCTTCTTCTGGTCGACTCAGGCTCCACCCATCCCCTCGGCCTCCGCCAGGCCCTTGCGGAGCAGTAGGTCGCTCATGAGGTGCGGCACCAAGTATCGCACCTGCGGACCGCGCGCGAAGACGAAAACCGGAGGCTGGGACTTGAACACTGCAGTAGCTACTACCAGGGGCCCCACAAACCATCAAGAACCTGGTTTTCTCTAGCAAAAAGACTGATTTTTGTATCTGAAAACCTTTGTTTTTCATGGTTTTGAGGGCCCCTGGTAACTAGCAATGGCCTCCAACCTACTTACGATGGCCTCCAACCATAAAGCTTTGACGCCTGGAAAACATCATTGGACGCCGTTTGGTTCGTTGTTCATCTTTCATCAATCTGTTGAAGAGTTGAAGAAGGCTTCCACCCCCCTCATCCCACGTCCCAAACTCAATCTCCGCTTCCGTGGATCCGCCCATTCAGACTCCGAGCAGCACCCCAAGCCTTCGAACAACGCCAATCTCACCAAGCCCTCGACGGGGTGGTTCCACTCGGCCGATGCTCCGATGCTCGTGCCCCTCGCGGACCTCCGTCCGGTACTCCGTCTGGACCACGGTGACCAGGGTCCTGACGGGCGTCCGGCGTGGGGCGCGCGCGGGGCGCGGGCCGCGCGGCGTGGGAGCCGGAGGTTGGGATCCGGGATCGTGGGAGCGGTGTCGATCTGGAGATCCGAGGTCTGTAATCAGTTGAAGCCTGGAAGTCCGAGGTCCTGCACGTGGTCGATCTGGTGATCGTGTGGTGTTAGTAAAACAATGAAGTTTGTTACGGCAAAGGCTATTAAATGGTGGTTGGACTTCTATAGGGCTTATATACTTAGGGGCTTCTATGGGGTGACCCGGTAAGGTGTTGGGATGAAGGGTGAAGGGTGAACAAACGGAGGAGCGACATCGATGACGGGATGACGGACTTCTCTTCCCAAGCGGCCGGTCCAGGCCCAACTCAGTCTACCCCATTCTTCGATTCGACCTCCGAAGAGAGGCAACCAAAACACCGAAAAGGGACCTGGTGAGCACCGCCCACTTCGGTCGTGACCGTTGATGAAGGTGGGGTTCATGGTCTTCTTGCTCCGTTCGTAGTAAGGCCAGGAGCCCCGTTCGTAGCGTCCTTGCTCCTAGGAGGGATGCCCTTTGCTCCTAGTAGCTTCTTGCTCCGTTGTAAGGATTAGTAAGGCCAGAAGCCCCCTACTCGTAGCTTTGCATCAAAACAGCTGCCGGTCACTCCGCAGCAGGCCTGTCTTCATGGACTTCCTCAGCAAAGGCCTTCGGATGGACCGACGTCGAACGCCCGGTCGACCGGGGTAGATAGTCCGTCTCGCTCGATGAGGCGATCGATGGGGGCGACCGGGAATCCAACGGAGTGAGGGAGTGAGGGAGTGAAACCTGGGAACGAAGCAAACTTCTGCCACAGACCCTGCCGATCTGTCGAACTGCTGGTGCTGGTGATAAATTCGATGAACGTGAAGGCAGAGGCAGATGCCGATATTTGGGGGATCATGTTCAGTTGAGAAGATGTGTGGACAAGCCAGTCCAGCTCTCTGGTTGCGTCTCAAATCCTTCGAGCCAGAAAAGAAGGTCCGGACGACCTGTCTGGGACCGGAAGAGATGTCAATCAGTTGACCCCATACATTCACTGGCATCAGGAGTCAGCCAGTCCCGGTCCTGGACCCGGGTGGTGTGAGTGCTTTCTTCACTCAAAGTCCCAACAGAACTCGTTCCATCTCGTGGCCGTTCCGGCGCCGCGCAGGTCAGACCTGTCCGGGAAGTCTCGTCTCAACATGTCTCACCGCTCCGTGACGATCGAATGATGTTCGACCGGTTGGGGTCCAGACGACCAGATCGGGTGAAGGGCCCCCAAGACGCGTTTTCGAGGCTGGTCTGAAGGGTTCAACTGGCATGTGCCACGCAGACGGCCAGTATGTGTATCTCAGTATGTAGATCAAGTGGGCCGAGTGGACATACTAGCACTCTAAATGAAGGGAACCACTGCAAACTAAATGTAAAATGTGATAAACGTAGACTGTCGACTAACAAAATCCCATGTGCCAACCCATCAACTGCGATGCGCTCGTCCACCGTGAACCCATTTCCTGTGAACCCAACAAGGTGGAGTGCCTCCAACAAGGACTGTGAAACTGCATGAATTTGCCCTATACTTCTGGCAGCCGCGCTTCGGACACTCTCAGGCCTTTTAAAAGAAATCTCTCCTCTTCAAGACTCCTCAGGAAACACGGATATCTGAATACCCCCTTTTCGAAGCACCATCAGCCGCCCCCACTGTTAGAATACTACGTTAGATATACACCTTGGATCCCCCCTGTCACCACCCCCTGGTCTGTTCGCTGGTGCCAGTCCTCCCGAGGGTCGGTTTCGCTGCTCGGCGGCACTCCAAGGGGGGTCACCACCCGAACCTGCTCAGCAGTGACCCAACCGCTACCGATCCCGCTGCTCGGCGCCTCGGTGTACTTCTCCTCGTCGAAGGCGCCCAGATCCTGCCGGTCAGCGGCGGCGGAAGGGGGTTCGGCCGATGTGAGCCAAGGGCGACGGCGTTGGGATCGCAGCAAGAACACGTCCGAGTAGGCCAGGGCATAGGCCATGAATATGAGCATACGCCACTCTGGGGCCCAGTGGATGAGGATGGCTAGGTTCGCCTTTATCTAAAAGAAAAGGTGATGGTTCTTATTGACCAACTGTTAGCATGTTTACTGAAACCCAGACCCAATCTTCTTAAGCATCCCAAAGCAGTGTCAGTTTTAAATGCTTCGACCAAACCGCCAATGCTTCGCCCTTTCCCGTCGGTGAACACTTCGCCCTCGCACGGGAAGCCTCTGCGAAACTGGTTTCATCGAGGTCACAAACCCTAGGGATCCAAGTACCCTCTCAGAAGGTACTTGGACCCTCGAAACCTACATAACAGTGTCTCCAATCACCTCCTGAGAAGGCACGACTGGATCCCTAGGGAAAGTCTCCAAAGCTGAAAACGATCCTTGTCCGACCACGTTTTCGCAAATCCTTTTCCGAGCAATTCTGACCTGTCCTGGACCGGTCCTTCTCGGCTCAACTACTGTTAGACCCTTGACATTTGAGTATAGGCATCTTCAGAGGTTTGACTGATAGGGCTGGTAGGACAGCCAAGCTGGGACTCTCAACCTTCTTCGAGCTGGACCCTTGACATCTCTGGCGCGCGCCTGAGCCCCGGCCTCTTCAGAGGTTTGAGAGTCCGCAGTTTACTGGGGTCATGACACTCCCCTGAGACTGCGACCCAGACTGTTGTCCTCAGTGGTTACCAGTGGTTTTCAGGGTCCAGCTTTGCAACGGAGTAATCAAGAGTCTTCATATTAGGTTTCAACTTGACTTCAACTTCGGATTGCTGCGTCAACATGTTAACCATCCGACCATTTGGGTGTCCCGGCTGGAGATCCGTAGTTTTGGTGTAGTCCAGCCAGGACACTCGAAGCGACTGGGTAGGATTCCAAGAAAATGAATATTGATGAATATTGATGAATATTGATTGGGTCTATCCTATGACCTGGGCCATCATCAACATGATGATGCGTCGGTTCGTGGCCTCTAAAAGAATGGTATGCTAGGATAGACCCGTCAAGCGTTGATAGACCCGTCGTTCGGATCCACTCCGACGGTCTCTCTCCGTCGAAACACGGATCTCTCGGGGCTTTGCCGAGAAACGTACTCGAGACGTTCGAGGGGTTGGTGTGGTAGAACCCCAGGTGTTCACAGATCCTGGTGCGTGACAACCCCCCCAACTTCTCATGGTGAACACCTGGGAAGAGGTGACAAACCCCAGGCCAGATGGACGCCTTATCTTCACACATCTGGCCATCTGGGGTGTGACGGGACAACGACAGTCAGATGTGAAGATGAAGAGCATCGATCTGCCGCGCTGGCCGCCGCCACGATTGGACGAGCGGGACGAGCGTCGATCGCCAGGCCGATCAGTTGAAACCAACCACCCCAGGCCTGAACGATAGTGGATTGAGAGGTAGATGGTGGTGGAAAGATATGCCTTGCTTGAGATCCACATCAAAAGCAGCTTGAGATCCGGAAACATCCAGCAACTGTTTCTGCTTGGCAGTGGGTTTTTCAGGCAGTGGGTTTCCGGTCGAATCGGGTCGGATCTGTTGGGCGTCTGGATCGGCGTCTGGATCGCTCGCTCGATCGGTACGCTCCTGGATGTCCATGTGCAGGTCCATGACAAACATCATCGCCACCTGAGGTGCAAAACGTTCAGCAACCGAATTCCACCAAAATCACCAAAACTCCTCTCTAAACCCAGTATATAGATCATCTGTCTGTGTACCCCGAAGCTCTCTTGGTCTGTGCCAAATCCTCTCTAAACCCAGTAAAAGTAAGGTCTGTCGAAGTATGTGCCCTATGGATCCACTGCCACCTTCTCAGAAGATAATTGGACCCTCCAAGCCTACAGTCTCCAATCACCTTCTCATGGATCCATAGGGGAGCAAAGGATACCACTGAAACTCTCTTTCACCAGGTTTTTCTGTCGTGGCGCCGTCTTCGAGTCGACTTGACTCACCTCCTCTGAGTCTTCGTCTTCGGTCGCACGTGAGTGGCTGGGTACCCCGGCGCGGCCACGCGACCTGAGAAGGGGAGGCTGGGTGTGTCATGTAGACTGTTGATGAATAGTATCTCTAGGGCTCCAAGTACCTGCTGAGAAGGTGTTTGGGGTGGTTGCCAGGAGGGTCCAAATACCTTCTGAGAAGGCACTTGGAGCCCTAGGGTATAGTAACAAGAAGCTACGAACGTAGCTAGAAGCGACGCACGGTGGAGACCATCGCGGTCGTAGGTGGGAGCCCATCGCTACGAACGTAACAAGAGTCTTCTCCCCAGAAGACTCTGGTGACGTTCGTAGCGATGGCCTCCCACCTACGACCTCACAATGGCCTCCACCGTGCGTAGCGTCCCAGAACCCACTGTTAAACCGAAACAGCCGCGGGTGAGCTTATTCGGGCAAACCGTCTCTTTAGACTTCATTGCATCTTGGGGGTCACATGGCGATGGGGTCCAAACTGATGACGCCAAGGGCTCGACCGCCGTCGCCGGACTGGTGTCGGACCGACCGTCGCGGAGGCGCCGAGAAGGGAGGGAGGACCGCCGTCCGAAAAGGCCCTGGCCGAGTTGGGGGGTTCGGCTCCTCTATGCTCCTCTCGTGGCTGCCCTGGAATTGTGGGGGGAAAAATGGGATAGGGAGAAATGACACAACAATGACATTGCCAGTCTTGATGTTCTTTTCGAAGAAAACACCTCGTTGTTACTCTTGTTGGTGGCCCCTTTTTGTTTTGCAAAAAGGGATCCAAGCGTGCAAAATCAACTAATATCAGCGCGCTATATATTGCAATCTCACGGTACTCTGTCCTGCTGCACTGGGATGGAAATCGTGACCATCTGTTGCACCGGACGGTTGCTTGCATGGAAGTGGTACCATTTTTCACCCGGACCCACTGTTTTTGGAAGAGCATGCTAGAGCCCAAACCCAGCGAATGCCTCATCTGGGAGTGCGTGGAATGACCCATCCCCCACTGTGAAACACCAAGAACTTGAGGGATTGATCTCAAGGATTGATCTATACAAATATATATATACACTAAAAAATCTAAAAAACAGGTCCTATCTGACCCAGTAAGCTCTGGTCTTTGACTTCATTGAGTAGCGTTTCTATATGAGGTCGGTGACCTGAAGCTTTCGGAGTGCTGGGTTTCGACCCACCTTCGATCCTTGGCAGTGGCCAGCGAGTTCAATATGTTCAATATTGAAGTTCAATCATCCTTAAGTAAAGGTTCAACATAAACCAGTTTCTGAAACCACTTAAGTGTCATAGCCCTATTCATTCTTTACTTCAGAGTTCTGGACGCTGCTCACTTGTCCATCCCTTATTCCCACCAAACGATTCCTTCCCGATCTCCCTCCGAGCTCCCCGGGCGGCGTCTTCTCAGGCGGCGTGCCGGGGGCGGTCAACGTGGTGGAGGCCTCCGGTTTGGCCCATTCGACGTTCACGGTGTAAGGCTGCTGTGTCCAGATGGGGCGTTGGTAGAGCCTTGAGACGTGTGTCCGACACCCACGCTCGTCACCCAAGCCTTGTTTGATGCAGCCCCGCGCTGAAGCGGGGCAGATGTCTGGGTTCACCACCATTTCCACCCTGGCCGTGAAGTATCTGAACATGAAGTAATTGGTCCATTTCAGGGAGACCCGGCGGAGGCGGGTATGGTCTACCCACCACACCTCCACACAGCACCCACCTCTTCAACCCCCACCGTGCCGCCGGGTCTCACCCGGTCGAGGGTCGGGTGCTCATGGTCTCCACCATCACGGTGAGGTCCGAACAAGACCCAGGGCCCCGAGAACTTGGGTGAGGTCAGTTCTCAGTTCAGTCTACGAGTGTTCTACTGTGTGGGAGCAGAAAAACCATGGGCATGAGTGTCTGAACTGGCCATGCCCAAAGTGTTTTCGATAGTCAAAGATCTCAAAGGAACTGGCCATATTCAGCTGAGAAAACACTACATGAACATAAACAAAAAACAATCTCACGCGCTGCATGGTCAGTTTCTTCTGCTACTCCTATACTGTTTATTCACATGGATGCACCGCCAGCTGAAAATACATCGTGCAAGATTGAAGATCCACAGCATCCTTCTGCAAAGAACCATGCCTAAGGCGAACACTGGTTTGACAGCTCCAAAAGCAGAAGCTTCGAAGCCGTCGGTCATAATGATGTGGAGGTCGACGGTTCTTTCGGTGTATGGACCACTGACCAGCTGAGGTCGTGGCACATACCGCGCCACCTATAGGGGGTTCCCACTTTCTTCAGGACGGTTGCCATGTGGACATGGTGCCAAGCTGTACCTCTCGCATGTATCTTGCATCTCTCAGCCTACATTGGGGGTGTCGGTGTCGACATTTGCCGCACTCAGTCTGTTCCTGCGGCTCTGACACAATCCAATCGAACCATGCTTGCCAGCTAACCGCCTGACGATCCACCCATGCTCAGGCGAAAATTTAATGTGTTCAGCTATATATATATATTGATCCCCCGTACATTTTCCCTTGGGTGTCTTACATTACATTTCATAGACAAATTGTGTCTATAGAATGAGTTGCCTCATGTACGGGGGATATATATTGCATGAACCTGTCTTATTGGATCCTGGATGTTCGCTCCATACTCCCTATGGATGCCTTCTCACCTTCTCCTCACCTCAGGTTCGATCCGGGACCCGACGCCAGCGAGCAAAAAACCACAACATGCAGTGTCGAGTCTCCCTGCTCACCGCTACGCGACCTGGTTTTCGGTGACGGATCCCAAACCGACCACGATGCCGAACGGTCCGCCACGTCGTGGACTCGTGCGAAGCGGGGTCTTTGAGGGTCGTGGCCTGGATGCCAAAGCGAAAGCAGAGAGGGTGATATACCAGCAGTCACAAGACGGGGTGCCGAACTTGGAGGTAGTCGGGGTGCCAAACATCACATCCACAGCCCCTGGATGGGACTACAAACCATCCCTGAAAGTGACTGCTGGTAAGTGACCTAAACGAACGGACCCGTCACCTGGGGTACGGGATGGTTGGTCACGAACTAGGGCCGAACTTGGGGTCCTTCAACCGTTGGATGTTGAGACCGGCAGACCTCCAAGCTTCTTCCCCTCACAGCGCCTGTGGCGCAGTGGTCATGGCGGTCGCCTCACGATGGCAGGCCGTGGGTTTCGGGAGCCTCCTCAGCATCAAAACCCAAACACTCCGGACTGGCACTGTTACGGCATATTTACCTGCATTTCGGGTGGTTGAAAAGGGGTCAATGTATGGAGCATATGCCAGTCCCATGGAGTCTCTGGGAAACGGACCAAGTGGTCTGACGCCCGGGTTCCCCCATCCGTCCGAGGCCCATCGACTGGTTTAACGATGGATGGATGAAAGCACTGTGCAGTTCCCAAACACTGTGCATAGACAGTCACTTGCGGCTGGTGAAATTGCGGTTTGCTCCACCTCTGGATCTTCACTGGAAACATGAATGACATGAATGATGAGGCTGTTGGTCCTATTTTGCAACTGAACCCTTCGTTCATAAACCAAATCCTGCACGACTGGACAAACGTTGATGCGTTAGCTTCCGCGGAGTCAAGTGGCTTCAGAAGAGTTTTCTTGCACCACGGGGGGCCACAAAACACGGCATGGCTTCATTGTGACCCTCCTCAATCCCAAGTGGTTATTGTGGCAGCTAAATACTTAGTCCACTTGACATGCCAGGGGCGTGTGTGGAAATTCCGTGGTATTGCCCATAAAATATCCCGCTCAACGTCCATTCACATGCATTAACTGTGCTGTGGAATATCTGATCCATGAAGCCGAGGAATGGGTGGAGCCCGAGCTTTCCTGCCTGAGAGGCTTGCACGAAGGAGACCTCGCGAGTTTCCGCGCGTTTCCGGCACGGTCCACTCGACACCATGTGGAGCACCCATCACTGCAAGCTCCAGAGTTTCACCACTTCTTTTGGCCAAGCAAAATGGTCTTCCAAACCCTTCTGACATGTGAGAGACGCAGGCACACCTCTCGTGGTTAAGGTAACCTGGTCGTGGTTAAGGTAGCCAGTTTCGACATGTGAGAGTCTTTTTCAAGATCCGAACGATGAGTCGACAAGTCCATCAACATCTATCACACCAGTCGTCCGTCAAAAACGGTTTTGGTAGACCAACCAAAACACCTGAAGGAGGTCTATCCATTATGCCAACTGTCTGTCTATATAGTGTATTCACCAATCAAGTTGGTTCCATACCCAGACACTCCAGGTGTCTGGCATATTTACCGATCAGTGGGGGTTGAAAAGGGGTCAATGGCTGTAAATATGCCAGTCCTCATGCCAGTCGTGTCTGGGATACTTCCTCTACAAGGGTGTCAAGAAAAGGCTCCAGGAATCCTAGAGGTGCGTTGGATGTTGGGGAAATTTTGGAAGTCGTCTTTCAGAAGTCGCTCTGACCAGCTGATTATTTCTCTGTGTCTCAGCTGCGAGTTACTCGTCGGACGTGTCGGGAAACCCGAAGTCCAAAGAAGAAGGACCTGCCATCTCTTTCCCTAAGGATCCAAGTCCTTGACCCTCCTTAGGGTCGGGGGCGTGGGCCCTGCTGTTCACAAGGGTGGCTGGGGCCCCGAACCAAACCCTTGTTTTGTGGACCGGGTGCAGATCCTCTCCGGGTTTGGGGGGTCCCATCCCAAAGGGGTCCATGGCCACCGGACGGGTGGTTCAGAGGGTGGTGACGGGACGCTCATACAAACTCACATGCATCGTCTGGCATGGTGAGGGG